TGCTGCTCTACGTACACCTTTGTGGGCCTGGAGCTGAGGTGCTGGTTGGGGCAGTCTGCTGCGGAGAGGTGGCGTCGAATGGAGTGCTCTGGCGGGGCGGCGTTTGCTGTAGCGAGTGCTGTCAACGGAGGGAAACGGTACGACGTGCAGCTGCTGGGCGGACACAGGGTGTAGATGGCTCAGCAGTCCGGTGGAGAACGGGTGTTAAGTGTCCCAGGTGCCGAGTGTATGTCGGATGTTGTTGCCTCGGCAGGTCGACGGAGTTATGGAGGTCAGTGCGCCTCAGGCTCGACATTTTGACGGGGAGCGTAGCAAAGGCTGCAGAGACGAAGAATGTGGCACGGCAAGCATGAACCACCGCAAGAACTACTGCTCTAAAGGGGGGACGTGTGTGGTGTGTGCTACTTATATTGACATAAGTAGTATATGATGTGAACAGAAGGTCTGGTAGCAGTGAGACAAGAGGATAGAACAGTAAAGAATGGAAACAGAATGCAATTTGTATGGAAATGCAAGAACGGTGAAGTCTGAGTCATTTCTAGACAACTGATAGACATTTTGCAAATTAAGCATTTACTTTATGGTTGTTAGATTTTATTAACAAGTCATGTCATTTGTGTTAAATACATTCGGTTGTCCGCACCTGTGTTCTTCACTACAATAGATTTACACTTAATTATTCTATCAAAATTAAGTCATATTTAAGATGTGATCATTTTAAATCTTTATGAGATTAGGTTGTGTTTATATATTACTAGGAGTTATTTTTTATGGTATATAAATATCTCCGAAGAAATTGATAATGAAGAAACAGTAGACAGGTATTTCATTTCAAATTAAAACATTATTAGTGCTAACTCAATATTCCAGCTATATTGATGAGTGTAGTACTAATCCCTTAGTGAGTCACAAATGCATTCAAAATGGTAGTAACATGAAATCTGATAATCTTTCCACGAAGACAATATATTTATTTCTTCAATTAAATTATATTGAGTTAGTAACAAATATAAAGTATCCTTTACTTGTATGAATACTGTATTTGTCCAAAGTTAACTTTATTAATTAAATTTTATAGTATCAATAAAATGTCTATTTAAATACGGCTGTTGTGCTCAAGATCATGTCATACAAATCATTCTTATATGTCTCTTAAGGATTATTTATATTATCGCTCATATGTGCCTTTTTCAAAGATTGATGCGAGAACTTAAAAAATCATAAAAATTTTGAATAGTGGGATAAGAAGACGAAGATACTTAAAACTATGCAACATGTTTACAAAATACATTTCAAATAATCTGATCATACATATATTTGTTAAGGAGATTAATATATACACAAATAAACAAAATTAGTTGACACAATAAAAGTAGATGATAAACATCTATCATCCTCAACGGCACAACATAAGGTTGATCAGAGCCTTGACTATAAGAAGACTTAAACTCTCTTTATGCATTCAAAACAGTTTTTTTCTCACCCTTAACCTATCATAGTAATATTGTTTAATTATACAGAGTGGTAAGTTTTGCATCATTCTCTCTAGTAACCTTATTCTCTCTTACCTTCCATCCATCTAACTGACCTTGTCATTTTTTATACATAGATGTTCTTAACAAGTATATTCTTGATCAGATTATTTGAAATGTATTGCGCCAATATATCACATAGTTCTGATAATCTTCATCCAAATTTATCAAAACGACTAATTGTTCAAAATAACTTTGATTTGAGTATCATTTTATAGCAAAATCGTTCACGAATAGTTTGACAAAAATTAGGCGCCGGGTATAGAAAAGTCATTAGATGTGGAAAATATATTTGAAATAATCTCAGCGATTGAAATCTAAGTAATTCCAACGTTTCGTCCAGCAAACTTATCTGGACTTCTTCAGGCTAATTTTTACAAATTTGTAACTTGATAGAATGTCAGTCAGTAAAAGTATTTTCTTAAATTTACATTATTAGAATATTGAAAAATCCACTAGTGATGAGAGGGAATAAAGCGATTTCCCTATTCTAAAAATTTTAACCACACCAGCATTTAGACTAAAAAAAAAATTGTTGAATCAATTGATTTTATCTTCATACTTGTGAAATGGATCAGTTTAATTTCTTTCAAAGTAATACATTGGATAGTTACAATTTAACTAAGTTGTCACGCCCTAATTGAGATAAATTATTGTCATTGTCATTATTATTGGTATTACTAATTTCTTTTTTGAATAATTGATGTAAATGATAATTAGTAGATATGTTATGTGTACGGTAAAAGTAAACACTAAATAAGCTATATTTGTTGATTCCATATAACTTGTTTAGTTTTTTAGTACACTTTTCTTGGTTCATGAAATTCATAAAATGAGACTTAAGTATGTTAATGCAAATTTCCCACATTTTAATTACAAATATATATATATATATATATATATTGCAAAATAGAAGAAACGTTTTAAAAATTACGAAACAACATAAGTTAGACGTCCACTGAAGGCCTAAAAGTACTGGACGACAGTTTCATCGTTGCCAGAGACTCCTCGATACTGTGCATACATGACCCGTCGGCTGATATTCGGATACAGGGTCTTCAATCCTGTGCTCTACCACCAGACCATCAGACGACTGGGCTGTAATCCACTGCTGCCATCCAGTGTACCCACCTTTTCAAAGGTTGTCTAACTTAGATCATTCTGTGATCCCAAGAACATTCAATAATCTCCACATCCCATACTGATAGAGACTTGGCTGTAAAATAATTCAAGCTGACCGCAGTCAGGTAGATGATGATACAATGGTATGAAATAAACTCAACTTGAGATAAAAGGAAATAAATCATAAAATAGAAAAATGTCCACAGAAGGATAGAAAAGATTGCATCATAAATTGATACGAGACTCTTATTATCAAAGGAGGTTATTTAGGAAAACTGCAAATCCCCAAAATAGCTAATAATTTTTTATATATGCATTATAAGAAATTACATTAACTTTAATTTTGTGCATGAATTATTATTGTTTTTGTATTTAAATATCTTTTGGTAAAAATAAAGCATAATGAATAGAAAGAAACGATATTTCTTTAAAAGGGGCGTATAAACATATACCTATTTACACATACTACTCACTGATACAAATATAATTTGAAGAAAAAACAACAAAAGAATCTACTGCATGAATTATCAAGTTTTTATATTTATACTGATATCTTAATCTTGAAAATAATCATAATTTTTAAAGAAATAAGATTGCTACTACGGTAGGGGGATTTCTGGAAACTAGCATTTTCATAGTTTAAATAACAAACTGATTGTAACTAAACCATTATTGGAAACTTGAAAGCACTGAACAGCTAGTTCGTTCGAGTATAAGATTCCTCAACAATGTGCACGTATAATCTCACCACAGGAAATCGAACGTAGATATTTGGTCTTGTGCGCTAACGCTTAAACTCCAAACAATTTAATCGATACCCAGTGTGTACGTGTCTCGAACAAACTCACGAAATCGCTCAACGAGATTGCGGACGAGCACCGTTAAAGAATCCCGAACTCGAACGACACATGCGTCCAGTGCTTCTAGGTATTTAATGCTAGTCTAACTAAAATCAGTTCATGATTTATACTACGAAAGGTAGATTTGTATGAAAAGCATTAATACAAGCAGAAAATGATTATGATATTTCATTAAACTTTAACGCCACTACATAAGTATAATTTCCAATATCACTCATTACTTAACTGTTTACTAGATCTTATCATTAGAATTATAATACCGACTGTTCTTAAACGACCAAGTACAATCATTTATGGTGACATTATAAGAAGTAGCTTATATTATCTAAATGCATTATATTTAATTTACAACATTTTAGTAGTATAACAAATAAGATGAAAGAAATAATCTTAGATGAAATGTTAACAAGGCAATGTAAAATAACGTAAGACAGTTTTGTAAAGATTTTGTTTGTTTCAAAGTTAAATCTAATTGGGAATCAATAATAGAAGAGAAAATTGAACAAATGTTTCATTTTCAATTCAGAAATCTTAAACACTATTTATCAATATGATGAGTGAACCAATCCCTGTCAAGTTTCCCAGCTGATAGCTAAGTTAGGATTTAATAATTTATACCATTATAATTATTAAGGTGATTCTTCAGCTGATGCTAACACTTGGAAATTATTCTAGATAAGTTCACGATATGTTTAGTGGTATTTTCATGACAAGAATTAACGGTAATATTTTAGTGAATTATAAGCAGAGATGGATAGTGGCCAGCAGTGAAATTCAGCACGTATGTTTCTTCGTATTTGAAACTCATTAGCTGGACGTAACTGAATCTCAGAGTTCATATTCACACCCAGACTCAAACCCAGTACTGTTTATTTCAAACGTCATCGAGTTATCTACTTAGCTACTGAGTACTGAAAGCCACCAGTTTGTGTAATGATGTGCAGTTAAATACATTTTTATATTAGTTATTTGGACCTTCCCATTGATGTTCAACAATGCAGACTGCCCCGATATTGTCTTACGTCACAGGATTCACATATGCCAATAAGAGACTGATCAATTGCAGTGTTAAACATCAATGGAAAGATTCAAATAGCCAATACAAAAATGAATTTTACTGAATTATTTGTATTCATACAAAACATTTGTATACTCATAAAAATGAAGCTGAATATCATGGTAATTTCTGCCGCGTTATAACTTATACCCATCTTATATTTCATGAGATTATTATGAGTTGGGTTTGAAAAGTATATAAATCATGGTATTCGTTATATCAACAACTAATTTAGATGAATATGGGTAATGAAGGTAAACGAGTAACCTCATCACATTTTATATATATCTTGAAATCTCTTTAATTTCTTTGGTAAAACTACCTTTTAAAAATTACAACAAATCAATATTCATCAACTTTAAGTTGATAGAAAACAATTAAATCTTTATTATAATTCCATTTAAATAATAAAAATACTAAAATCCATACCGTTTGGTGTATAAAAAGCAATGATATTTGAAGATGGCGATCGGCCATGTTGATTTCTTGAAGTGATTTTCACAAAATATAGTGTACTTGGTTTTAACCTTAGTAAACCTGCTTCCGTACTTCCACCATTGACTGATCTTTCTGTCCATTTTCTTGTAGATTGTTTCATATTTGTAGTAAGATATAGGGCAGATGCAAGTATTCTTCCATTTGGATAAGTTGGTGGATCCCATTTAATAAACATTGTGACTAGGAAATGTGAACTAGGCTTATTATTATCATTACTATTATCATTGTTTTGATCATGTATGATATCATTATTCAGTGCATCTGAGGAAGTTTGTATAGTTGAGAAATCTAACAATTGAAGTTTTGTATGCAATTTATTAGTTAACCTTAATTTGGATAGTCGAATATTTGTCGGTGCATCCTTTGGACCTTGAAAAAAAATAAAGAATGAAAAACTATTTAACGAATGAATGTTGGCAAAAGAAGTTTCTTTCTTAATTTGTGTTATTCTACTAATATTGCAACATCTACCTGGTTTCATGCGACTTGGACATTAAAGGCAAATAGAAAATTCATTTTGTCGACCATCGGATGTACGATATATTAAATCATAGTTCAACCATTCAATACTTATGTGGAATTTTAAAAACGATTTGTTTTACCTGAAGTTGCATTCCTTGAATTGGTCGACTTGTTCATCAGCCTATCATTATCGTTCTCGGAAGCATCGTCAGCACGAATTAAGATAAAATGGTAAACAATCAGTTGTTCTTTAAGAGTAACATCTAATCCGTTGATTATTGCTAATAGCTATATTAAAGTAAGAATTATTTCTCAATGGGTTTATTTGGTTTATTTAATGATAGCTATTTAGTCATTTTCTGAATCTCTGTTCTGATTGCCTTCTTTTCATTACCTGTTCACTGAATTTATACTTGCCTATTAACTTCTTTTTAATTGGTTAACAATTCGGTGCAATGAAATGTTCTAGTCGAATAATGTAGTACTGAAAATCGTTGAGCTCAAGTCTATCCTATCATCTTACAACCATTACTTCAACGAATTGATTGAGTAAGGCTATTCCTTCAGAATATGACGAGCAAGTGGTAAGCTGACACATTTTTTTCATTTTACTTAAGTAAGTAAATACTAATAGTAATTTATTGATGACTTGGGATTAATTGATTATCACCATTAAATTTCATGTTGATAGATAATGCTACGAAAATGAGTGGAGGGATTTTTGTAAATTGTGACGTTTTCATAGTTTAAATCTTAACTAGACCATCTTTGAAAACCTGAAAGGACTGAGTGGCTCTATTGTCCGAGTCTCAGACTCAATTCTCCTATTCGAAGTTGTGGATGCTGAGGAGTCCCACACACTCGAATGAAAAGGCTGAATAGTGCTTTTGTGTTTTCAATGACGGACTAATTAATATTATTTCATTGTTTAAAAAATGCTTATCAAAGAGAGCTAGTAACTAGTTTTTTAAGGAACTGAATGAATTTGAAATGTTAGAAGTATAATTATTCGGGATACTTGTGGTAAATAGAACATGTAGTGTTAACATTTTGTGAAATTCACTCTAATTAAGTACTGGTTAACGCATTAGCAATTCTTACCACTTTTGTACACAATGATTAATTGTATATATTTCTTTCTCAAAAAACAAACATTTCAAACAATTGTAAAGTAAGATTATTAATTGTGATAAACATTCGACACTATACCACTCAAGATTCATAATATATGTAATAAGCTTCATAAGAACTAAATTCATTCAACTGATACAAAATGTTTCTTATAGCATTTGTCATATTTTCAACAATCATAATACTTATAAGTTTCATATCATGTCAAAACAATATAAAGTTGTTAGATTACTCCGACAATTAACTTCAGATTGCATAATTTATTTGCTTTTCATTAGTCTTAATAGATAATTAGCCATTACCAAATTCAGTATTAATAAAGGAACGATTATAATACTAGAAACTTCTATTGTAAATACATCATATATATATATATATATATATATATATATATATATATATACATGGATAAATATTAGTTTGATGTTTTCCATCTTACCGCCTAAATAATTATTCTGTAAATGACTAAAGGTCAGTCTAGGTCATATCCATTGTCATGAACCATTATAAAGAAGAGATATATTTTTATATGAATAATCACTATTTGCATAATTTTAGGACAATAAAAACATAATCATTAACAAGATGACACTATTTAAATGAATTATTCAAATAGATATGTATTCCCACACCCTGGTTGATTTCCTGAGATTGTAGTTACGATCGTGACACGTTTGAATAAGATAAATATCTTTCTGTTGGGGAGTTTCACTGAATTCTGTACATGACTTATTCAGATATTAATAATTTACTACAAATGGCATATAAGCCTAATAAATTAACATCTGAATGGTACTTTTTAATAGTTTTGGAACTACCTAATCCACATAAACATCTTAGTCTCTAGGATTCACAAGCTGTATTTATTTCAACAAATGATGTTGTTATGTTCTCGTAGAAATTATTCACATCAAAATTCGTAGGTTAGTTTGGATATCTAAATGAATTTAACCCATTTAAATTATCCATTTTCCAATTCAAGCAATTCTGATAGCATTTAAACCTGACATTAAAAAGCTGGCGTAAAATAATTCTTGTTCAAAATGTCGTATGATATCGACAATTTTCTTCTAAATTATTTTCAGAACAAAAAAACACTAATCAGAATCCAATCGAAAAATGACGTCATGACGAGAATTTCCCCTTGTAATTTATAAAAAGAACAAATAACAAAAATCTATGAAGTTTTTTATAAACAAATAAGAACTTTCGTCCAAATTCGATGGAATAGTTTCATAGTATTCGGGCTCCGAGTTGATATGAGACATTAAAGAAGAAGAATGTATTTGTAAAATCTCAGTGAATGGATTTGAAGTAAATCCAACGTTTCACCTGATAATCTGGTTCAAGCTTTTTCAAGGAAATATAATCAAAACATCAAAATTATCCCATGAGGTGGGATCGTGGATACGCACTGCTGAGGAGTCCCACAATAGGAGGGAACGGGCGTCCAGTACTTTCAGGTTTTCCATAGTGGTCTAGCTTCAACTGACTCATGATATTAGCCATTGAAATTAGTACAGATTAATTGCCTTCATTAATTGGGCAAAAGTAAATAGACTCTTTTATTATTTTAATTAGAAATTTGGTGTTAAAGTAGGATTGATAATCTGTTGCAAACGTTTAACTTTTATACCTGGTAAATTTTTTTTGCATTTACTTTCAACATATTTTCAGCATGAAAATTGCCTAATCCAAGCAAAGAATTTGGAGAATGTAAAAATATAATGACAAATCAGTGATTTGATAAAATGATTGAGATGGAGGGGTTTGTTATTTTGTTAACACGATCAATCACTGAATCCAAAGTAAATCAACTTGACAAAAGGGAATGATTGGCTTATTAAACGAATCAATTTTGAGGGGAATAAAGCTACATTTCATATTCAAAATACTTGTGGTGATTGAAAAACAAACATGATATTTCGGTTTTCATTACATATTAAAATAGAGCATACATTAGTTAGATTATGAATATCAATTCAAATGGTTACTTACAAATAAAGGCTGAAATTTCGATAATCATTATCAATCTATAAGAAATTACGATGTTGATAAAACTGAGTTATCGAAATAACCCAAGGCACCAGAAAAGTCTCATTTTATTATGTGACAATTTCTTTTAGTAAAGAAATATCCTATAAAGTTTTGACGCTTCAAGTACGGACGTACCAGTGTGACATTAATTAGATCCTCAGAAGCTAACAGTTACTAGTATGTCACTCACGATAACAGAAGCTTTGAGCATTGTGTTGTTAGTGAATCTTATTGATAATAATATGAGGTAGAACGAAGAGTATAGACCGTTAGGTTTAGTGACTGAATATCAAGATGTTTTTGAGAAACTAAACTTGTAATTACATAAAACCAATGTTAATCAATACAAATTAAATGTAAACATAATGATTTGAAATTCGCCCTGATACACTTACTGAAATGGTTATTTACTTTAAGGGGAAATAGACTTGAACCATTTGTTGTCAATGAATATTTGATCGACACAGCCCTTTCAACATTATGAATCAGAATGTTGTCTTAGTTTATTTTGCAACAATTATGTTTAAACTATTTGACAGGGGATCCGTTAGCAGACGATGCAATTTGAAGAACATGGTTCTTATGTTCGTGGTTAAACTAAGTACGTTTAAGCGTTAGTGCACCGAGAAACTCACTTAATCTGAATGATCGTTAAAATTCATAAATAAATTACTAGTTTTCTTTTCTGTCACACTGCGCATTTGAGTATTTTATCCAAAAATGTTTTGAAAATAACAAATGAGTAAGACGCTGTATGGAAAACTGGTTGATCATTGACCTACTTTTACCAAAAGTTTCAAATCCTTGAACCATACTCCAGAAATATGTTTTCACTGTTCTACCATTAACGTTTGGATCATTTTCTTCAGATATCACCTCATTATGTAACACTCGAACACCGAATTCATACTGCGTAGCAGGTTCCAAATCGCGAAGAATAATATCAAAGTGTTCGTCATGAATTTGGTTTGATGTTAAGGTCATATTGATTAATTTTAATTCATGTTTTTTTTCGTCAACATTTTTTGTTGCGAATTGTTCAGTGATATAATTTGTAATTTCTATTTCATTTTCCTGTCCTTCTTCTTCTTGGTCTGTGTTAGCCTTCACGGAATAATACTTCACTTGAAATCCACTGATAGACATTTTAATAGATTGTGGAACACTTGGCATATCCCATCCAACACGTGCCCATGTAGAGCCAAGTTGCTGAACTACTAAATTTACAGGGATAAGTAAACCTTGACTTGTCGGTTTTGTTGCTTAAAAGAAAAAAGTTGGAATTTCCAGAAAATAATATAATTAATGGAAACATTTGAATGTATGCCGTTTCATACTATGGAACAAAATCCTGTATTTAGATAGATAACCAAATAATTCAGTAATCTGAACAGACTTGACTTCATTTTTAAAATCACACGAAAATATCATGAATCCATGCTGATAAAATAGTACAATCTACCTAAGTAATAAACCTTCAAAAAAGAACTCTTTTGGTTACGTCCGATTGAGCTTAGCTATAGCAGTACCAACTCCACAGATTCAAGACAATATTTTTAGATACAATTAGTTGGAAGTGCTACAGGAGACGACCCCAAATGTCTCGTCAAATAACTGGTATACATCAATCTATATGTTCGAATGCTTTCTGAGATATGAGTAACTGCAGTAACAACAGAAGTCACTTAGCCCTTTAATTCTATTGTGTAGTCAGAACGAGTTAAGTGTTGTGTTTGATGCCACCATGGTGATTTACTAGTAACTTCGATTTATCTCTATTTGTTTATCTCTTTCAATGAATATGATCTCAGCCTTCCCATTACCAACACACTTGAACTTACTTTAAGTGCAATTAGCCAAATTATTCTTTTATCTTAGTTAAAAATTAATATTTGATCTATTTTCGAACATAATGCTCTTACTGAATTGATCTATTGCTGTCTTGCATTAACGTCATGATTTCTGACAATGTTTATTTTTTTATGTGATGATTTATTATCTTTATCAGTTTGTCTACTACACCGTAAACATTTCGAATATATTCTATTTAGTTGTTTATTCTATAATTACTTTTTTGTCAGTTTGAGTTCTAAGACGTTCTAGGATTTTTATCGTTTGTACATTATGATCTGGTCTTATTTAGAATATCCTTAAAATTCCGGAGGCAGTAGATAGCTGTTTTGTCTCAGTATGAAACTCTTCAGAAGTGTGATTTTCCGACTCCACATCCGTAAATCGAACCCAAGACTTGAGATGAGAACCTTAGCTTCTGGTAGAATGTTGAAACTGACGAAGTTCATCACTTTTCAGACAGTGTTCTTCGATAGCACTAAATGTTCCATCGACGGTGATGCGAATTGCCTGGAATAAGAAATTTTGACTAATGAGGCTAAATTCAGTGATTTGAGAGTGAATGGTAGCTGCAAGTTATAAATATCCTGGGTTTGATAATTGATGGAAGCAAACAAGTCTAATCCTAAAGATCTAACTAACAGAAATCAAAATACTTTATAGTTCTCACTTTTAGTTATATCAGTGACATGTAATTGATTGTAAACGAAGTACAATATAACAGAGGTTATTATCCAACACAACTGATATGTACTACGCTTTATGAAAACATTAAATGGCTTACTACTGTTCTAACGATACTAACATATCATTATCTATACATATCATTTATACAGGGGATATTTTAGTGTTTAAAACACCTGATTTAAAGAAAATTGAATCAAAGATTTTGTACTAGACAACTGTCACTATCTATAGCTTTTACATAAGAATGTGTATAATTAAAACTCATTAAATAAACCTGCTACTAAGTTGTTTTAAATAAATTATAAATGTTACTCTATTGTCATTAAGTGAAGTTAATTATCACATATTACCTAGATGATAGTGATCTGTTCTTTTTTAAATACAGTTTAGTACTAACCATGATATCTGAAACCCTTAAGTTCACTAAATCAAGCTTGCAAATAGACTGTACCTAAATGAGGGGATTTTAATAGACATTACATCGCACATTACATTGAATATCATGCGAATCTACCTGATGAAGAGTCTTGTGTCATTACAACGGTGTAGGCAGCGGGACCATCTCCACCTTCTGTAACAGATATAACTCGAATGTAATAAATCGTTCCAGGTTCTGTGAAAAAAGGTAGACAGAATCAATAAATCTAAAATTGCATTAAGATTTTATTAATAAGTTTCAACTAATAACCATTAAGAGGTTAACTATAAATTTATTCGAATTGAATGACTTGAGCAAACTCATAGCAAATTGAATACATTCTTTTCCGAGATATACTGAATATGATACACATTCTTGTTAACTTATTAGCTTTATTGAATATTATATTTTTGGCACAATATAGGATTCTCAACACAAAGTATTCAACAAGTTTCCTTTTCTTATTTCTTGATCGATCTTGTCGATAAATATTAAGTGATCACCTATTGGGTATTAGCAGTTCAGGAATCGACATCGAAATAATGTTCTTTTTTTCAGTACATATTACCAGCCACCACGATGTCGCTGATTGTACATTTATTTAACTTGTACAGTGAAATGTCGTAAACTTTTCAATAAATGCACCTGAATAGGTTATACGGTTAATAGATGTAATAATGTATTAAAACAAATAAGAAAACAGATAACTTGTTGAAATATCTTGATGGCAGGAAGAGGTAGCCTAGATATTCATGCAGGTCGCCTATAATGAAAAAGTTATTTATAGTGCACACATAATAATACATTTCTGTTTCTAAACATGGATTATTATGGTACGTTGTTAACTTGTTTTTTATAAGTATAACGGTGTTTTCATAAAATCAAATAATTCTTGTTTAGATGACAATGATTAGAAATTGTGGTGGATAGTGTATTAATATTTCTATACATTGACTTAAATACTGAAATTTCTTTGTTTTGCTTAGAAATTTTGACATCAGTGGATAAGAATGATCAAAAAAATAATTATATCTCTGAAGAACAATATGAATACTATTAGTTAGATTTATATGATTTCAATAAAAAGAAAAACAAGAGATGTATTTTATGAGCAAACCATTCGTAACATTAAGCCCCCTTTTTATTTATATACTTATTTATTACGTCGTTCATTATTCCAACTCATTCATAACTAGCCGATTTCAATCCATATCTTTCTTCATTACTAGTTATCTACTTTCAGTTACTTCATTACATAATCATCTAATGTGTTTTTTTAATTCCATGAGTTCTAATCACTATTTCAATGTTCTGGAACTTTCCCTCCCAAACTTTATTTATCCGAAACAAAAGTTTTTATGACCTCATTAACTCCATCGAAATCTTCGATACATCATGATACGTATATTCATCCTTAATCACTCTCTTATGTATAAGTATGTCATTATCTGTAATAACGTTGATATTCAAATATTTTAGGTTGTAAGCAGCTAATGAGAATCTAACGAACTAAAATGAATTCATATTATTCTGCACCAATCTTTGTTATTGCTCTTTTTAATGCTACATTTGGAATGGAAGCCAGAGTAATAATGAATTTGTCAATCTTAATTATCAGTTTTGAAGGGAACTATAAAATAAGTATTAAATTGTTGGTGAGTAAATCCTAATACAAAGATATTATAGAAGTGTAATCATTGTGAATGACTAATATATTATGCTTGTTTGCTGGATCTAAAAAAACTGATTTGTAGGTTATATCTGCCACAGACTGATTTCATGTGAAGAACGACTGGAAATTAAAGATCATAGCTTGAGACTCACAAGTAGCTGAGACTAATTACCGTAACAAAGGTAAAATCCCAGAAAGTTCAGGTCTCGCGATGAACGTTAGTCGAATAATGTCAATTTCAATCAGTTTACAATTTAATATGTTGGTCATCAAATGACATTGATGACTTATTTGAATGTCAACAAGTCTGCACACTTTAAGATATATAACTTACAAATTAAGCTTATCTCCATAAAACCCCTTCAACTAAAAAGGCTAAATCATTTCTAATGGTATGATACAATTTGGTTTGCATAATCACATGACTCAGAAATTTCAGTTTGAATTCCAACCATATGGCTTTTCCGTGTTAATAAAGACGTATCTGTTGAACAGATAGAAGGAAAGTTACTACTGCTTTTTTGTCAATTAATTCAGTCGTTTATTAATTGTTTATGAATTTACGAATATCCACTAAGTATGTAGGTGTCATTACCAAGGTTTGATTTGATAATTTCGAATAAATTGAGCATTGGGTTGATTGTTATAAATAAAAATAATATATTTGTAATATCCCAATGAGTAGAAAATTGGATTTACTGACGTTTCGTGGCTTAGTGTAAGTCACTTCTTCAGAGAATAAATAACCAAATTAAATTAATCCAAGTTTAAATAGTACAACGGAACAATGCAAGAATAATATTTGATCAATCAAAAACAGGTCTGAACAAGTTGATGTCATGTCATTTCTGTCATAAGTGATAAGTACGTAAATTTGTGTGTGTATGTATATGTGCATTGTTTAAGAATGAAAACTTGTGTGACCTTTACGGTAAGAAAGGATAGAGTTTAAATTTGTAATATGAAAGTGTGAAATTGTAAATACGATCAGACTGAATGGTTAGGATAGATGGTCCAAGTAGGATGTATGGTAAGGCCTTCTTTTCTATTGAGAGAAGTAGGATTAAGCATTATATGGAACGCCTCAGCTACCCTCCTTTCTTTGTAGTTGGAAAAGCCTTTTTGCAATATTTTGATATTTTTAAAATCGATTTGGTGGTCGTTGAAAATGGCATGAACTGCTATTGCCGATTTAATTTGAAGTTGGTTCAATTCTACCGGATTGTTAGGATGTTTCTTTGTGTACCTAATATGTTCTTTGGCTCTAGTCACGATTTCGCGGGATGACTCTCCAATATAATAGGCATCACAATCGATACAACCTAATTTGTAGACGCAGTTCTGTGTGGACATGAAAGGGATTTTTTCTTTTATTTATCCACTAAGTATGCTAATTCAGACTATGTTTTGTATAAAACGATAAGTCCTAATTTGGGGATAACTAAATAAAGATTCACATTTCCGCTTATTTTATCATCTGTTCTGCACATCCGGAACTGATTTCGTGAGAAAATTACCAGTTCAGTCGCAAAACGTTTTTTAAACTAACAAACAGTTTAATTAAACTTTGCCGACGATACTAATCTGTGATTATAACCTAGCAGCCAGTATGCTGATTCTATTAACTCAGCTTAACTAGACGATCGTGAAATATTTTGATTTATCAGAAGAAATGTCGAACATCGTATTTAGCATTAAAAATAGGGCTGAAATCAGTGGCGTGTATGTAATAAAAATGCCGTTTAAAATTTCAATAAATTCAGTTGACCTTACTTATTTTATCAACCTCATCAAACAGAAGAATAAAATCTTCAGTGTTGTTTACTTACTTTCTATAGTTTAACAAATAAACCTAAAGATGAGTAATCATGCAAAATGATTGTAAGCCACCATCACAATGCTATGGACTTGATAATCGTACTAGTCGGGGTTTGTCAATAAACAGTTTATAAAATCTTGAGAAAAATGATACTGTTTGAGGAATCTGAATCCACGTCACTCAGTATCATAATCAGAGGTGTAATCGCTGAGTGATTTAAGATGTTACTATTATCCCATCTTGAAATTTGGTTACTGACCTATCACTGAGTAGCAAATAGTCACATAATTATCACCAATTCAAGTCTAACAATTAAGATCAATTGAATTAACTATTGTTTTTATGATAGATAATTTTCGGTTCATGACTACTTTCGACTGGTTTTAACCAATTGATATCAACACTTGGTACACTTGATATCAAATCATATACACCACTGATCAAAGTACAACCTGATAAAAAACTTAACAATCTCCACGACCACTGAACTGTTAATTACCATGTGCTCACTGGTGACTAGCTTCGTGAGAAAATTCTCGGAGTTATAATGAGGAGCCGTGACCAGTGGAGCTAATCCGTGTCGGCTAGAGACAGGTGTCTACCCCAGTACAATGGGAGATAGTCACACAATTTCCTGGATCGGTTGAGGTTAGACATTAACACGATTGGATGCCGGCTCAGTGGTCCAGTGGGTTAAGCGTTCGCGCGCGAGACTGAAGTTCCTGGGTTCGAATCCCACGGGCAGGATCGTGCATGCGCACTGCTGAGGGGTCCCACAATAGGACGAAACGGCCATGCAGTGCTTTCAGGTTCTCAATGATGGTCTAACATCAATCGGTTCATGATCTCAATCGAAAAAAGTAGAATTCAATCAGAATTAAGAACTAGACAAGAATCATATTTCATAATAATCTAATAAATCAATGTAAAAATCTCTTCTAAACTTTTTTTTCCAGTTTACTTCTATATCTTATATAACAAATTAAAAATAGTATAAATTTATATCTAAAAAGAAAAAGAAATAATTAACCCTTATAAAAAGATAAAATCATATAGAATCTAACGAAAATTTATTGAAGAGAAGTTTCTTTATTCATCTTGATTTATTTACCATTACTCTTTTTTTTTGTTTTTTTGTTTTTCTATGAATATACATCACGACATTATGATCCTTATTGGAATTCACACACGCAACTACATTTACAGATAAAATGAGGTGTAACCAATATTATATTTGATGATATCGTAGATACTTTTAATTAAGATGTTTATTATTTTTTTTAAAATTTATTTAATTTCTCTAATCAGTTTTTCATTAGTTATAATTAAATTATTATCGGTTTCATTGAAAAGCATCTACTATATAATGACAGAGTCGTTATTTTTTGTCTTCCGATTTCTGTTTTTTTTAATATTTAGAAACTATAAATTAACCAAACCAAACTGAAGTATTAGTAGTAGTGGTGGCAGTAATAATAATAGTAGTCGTAGTAGTAGTAATAGTAATAGTAGTAGTAGCAATAGTAATAGTAGTAATAGTAGTAGTGGTAGTAATGGCAGTGCTAATAACAGTAGTAGTAGTAGTAGTAATAGTAATAGTAGCAGTAGTGATGATAATAGTTCTTGTCTTAACTATTTAAAATATAAACACAGCTTTTCTTAAATAAATAAATAGATAGAAAAATATATTTTTATATGACTTATCAAAGTTGTTGAATATTCTTTAACATTAAATTTATATTCTTTTAATGCAATAAATACATAGAACATTTTTGATGTTATCACTTATTCTTATTCACTGTTTACATATAATAAAATAATCAGATATAGAAATGTAAACTAATCATTGTGAACATCATTTCAATGTTTGTTTGTTTGTTTTTACTATTACTTTTTTTCATTCTGTGAAAGAACGTAGTTTTTTATTTCTAGATAAGCAAAATAGATTAATCTGTTCAGTCGAATAAGTTTCAAATTCTTTATGAAGAATAGATTTCCTGAAGAAATAGTCATATTTTATTCTAGGTTAATTGAAAAGTTTATTGAAATCTCTTTGACATATCTGGATTGATTGGGTTTTTTTCTTTCTTTAAAAAAATGCAGATTGAATTAGTTGACATGTTGCTTGAACTAAATTTTGTACTTCTGTGATATGTCAAAATATATATATTTCACTGTTAAACATTCTTGAAATATGGACGGCGAGATTATAATTTATGGACGAACCAGGTATAAGTGAACAGGTCTCGGATTTCGGAGCGAAATTCACCTATCTCTTTGGCTAAATAAAGTTTTGGCATTATAGCTGATGTCAGTTCGTGATGAAAACCCTAAATCTAATTCCTAACCTTAAACATCAAATGTAAATCATAATTATAATTCACCACACTGGTCTGTAGCCCTCATTTGGTCGTAGTTATTGGGTGAAGACTCTCAAGGTCATTTTAGCGTCACTCAAGGGTCGTCCATAAATTATAGTCTCACTATGTGAACTACGAATGATCAAAGCATTTCAATATTTGGAAATTTTACTCTTATATCATGTAACGATTACTATTAGAATCTAAGATATAGTTGACAAGCTAGTTATTTTTATTCAGAGAATAAGTTGTTATGTCTATAACATAAATGAAATGAGACTTAAAGGAAATAGTCCTTTTTTGTAGGTTTTAGTAGAGCGATGAGAAGATGGAGTTGATCTGAAAATTATGATGTATTTGATCTGTAACATCTGAACGCTCTGATCACATATTTACTTGTCAAGGCACTTCAATGTGGAAATCAGAAAAAAGCCTAATTCGATAAAGTTCAAATAAACAATGTAAATAGAGAAGAGAAAAAAAAGTTAATGTAATATGAGAAAAATGAGAAATTATTGCATCATCCTAAGACTTGAAATAGCTCAGAAATTACCAGTGTAGATTTAAGGTTACGACAGATTATTTGTGTACACATAAAGGAACTTTAAAAATAACCAAAACTTCTATGGAACTGAGAATTTCTCATTGCCAGTTCTTATACAGCGTTTGGAAAGCTGTGTTTATATTTATTCTATGGTGCGTTTCAAGCATAAACATGATCAGTTTTCTAAATCAATGCAGGTTTGCTAACATAATCAACTGTCTAAACAAATAAAGAATCATAACCATTTCAATAATCTGTGTTAATAGTAAGAATTTAACCATTTTTAACCGGATATTGCTTGATCTCAGCCTTCCACTATGCATAACGAATATAAAAGTTATTAGGATCATTTTATGAGTGTAGCATTTACATTTTAATGTGGTATAAAACCATATTAATGATAATAAACTTACTTAAATTTTCAATTGTATACTGTGTTCGATCACCTCTTACACTATCTTCAGATGGACCGGGATGCATATCACCCCAACGTATGATGTGTTTTGTTCCTGGTGGTAGCAAACCAGTTATATCTTTCTCATGTTTCTCATTTTTGATTGGGACAGGGATTAAATGTCTTGGATTAATTAATGATGTATATTCATAGTCAACATCATCAAATAAATGTGTTTCACTATTCATATTAATTTGTCTTAAAGCAACTGACCATTTTAATTTTATTGATGTTTGAGTTGCCGTCGCCCGTAGATTATGAATCTGTTTATAAATATGTATGTACATGAAATTCACTATAAAATTACTTCTATATTCAAAGATAAGTATTCTTATAGCTAAATAAATAAGCATCAATAAAAAACTGTATACTGTTCAAATAGTTGGAAATCAGGTGTATTACCACCACACTACAGATATCATAATTCTGTTGTGGACGTTTTATTTCACATAATGCTACTGATCAGTTATATTTGAGTTGTTATAAAAATACTAAGTATTAAATTAACTTAAACTGTCATTACTTTTAGTAAGTAGTATAATTTTATGTCTACACATTTCCCGATAAAAATGAGGAAGCTGCTGACTTCTTTCATTTGAATTGCGTTAGTGGTTAATCTAATCAAATGGTTAAAAATGATTCACATGAATTTATTGAAATATCTAGATCTGGCGTGAATTAATCGCGAAAATTAAACTAATCCTAGAATTTATTTCAATTACTAGCATCAAGGGTCATAAGGATTAAAAGGTCATTGTAATGCATCCAGACACAGCAATTCATACAAGTTAATTCATACATGTACATACCTTGGTCATTTGTATCGTATTTCATTGACATTTTTTATTACATCCAAATAACTTTCGGATCATTCACTTACAATTATTTAATGTCTATCACTTGATACGCTACCTAATACTCTATATGATTAATTACTGTTATATTTCCCCGCTACTATAAGTTACCTGGAGTTATTCCGGTTATTAGTTTCTTAATTTAATCTTATCAGTAGTCTGATTTGTAGAGTCCTTCACATACCTGGGAAGCATCATCGATGAACAAGGAGCCTCAGATGCAGACGTAAAGGCAAGGATCGGCAAAGCAAGGGTCGCATTCCTACAATTGAAGAACATATGGAACTCAAAACAACTGTCTGTCAACCTATATCAAAGTCAGAATCTTCAATGCGAACATCAAAACAGTCAGTTCTACTGTGCGGAGCTGAAACTTGGAGAACTACAACAACCATAATCAAGAAAGTACAAGTATTTATAAATAGCTGTCTACGCAAGATACTCAACATCCATTGGCCGGATACCATCAGCAATAGCCTTCTGTGGGAGAGAACAAACCAACTTCCAGTTGAAGAAGAAATTAGGAAAAGACGATGGAAATGGATAGGACATACATTACGCAAATCGTCAAACTGCATCACGAGGCAAGCCCTAACTTGGAATCCTGAAGGGAAGCGAAAAAGAGGAAGGCCAAAGAACACATTGCGTCGGATAATATAAGCAGATATGAAAACGATGAATTACAACTGGACGGAGCTAGAAAGGATTGCCCAGGACAAGGTTGGATGGAGAATGCTGGTGAGCGGCCTATGCTCCTTCACGAGGAGTAACAGGCGTAAATAAGTAAGTAAGTAGTCTGATTCATGCAAACAGTACAAGCAATTCAGTCGGATATTCATAAACATGACCAAGCATTTCACATCATTTCGTTGATTAATATACGTAACTTGAAGATAGTATAGATGTACAATCTGATCATGTATAGTCATTAATTAAATAATTTACTACAGCATTGACATGTTATTTAGTGGTATTTTCTGTTAAAGCAAAATAAACAAACTCTTTACAATCAGAAGCTCAGATATTTTTATCATAAGCCATTTAGGTTTCACAAAGCACGAATGGTGTCTGGTTCTCTTGAAAACCTATGTAAATTACCCTATCATATTTCTCAAAAATGTACTACAGTCAAAAACAAAACTGAGTGAAAGTTAATAGGATACACAGTAAAGAATAACCAACAAATCCTTTAATATTTTCTATAAATTGTCGTCTTACCCTTGAAGGTAACACATAAAATGGTGGATTGTTAGCTTGTTGAATTGAGTCAGTCAAATCATCAGCTTTTATTTCGTCTTCAAAAAAGTCTACATTTTGACTGTCAATATTTGATGCCAATTTAGATTCAGGAATTTCTATGCCTTCTAATTCATCTGAATCTAACTTTGGAAGTTCTCCACTTGTTTGAAAGTGTATAGCTTTAGATGGGACACCTAAGCCACCTCGAGTAGTTGCAGAAACTTGTACACTGTAAAATGTTCCAGGTATAAGATCTGAAAAAAATTGAAACCTTCAGATATATGACCAATTGTAATTAAACCATTTTAAAACTTCATTTTCAGAGAAAAAATAATGTGAACAATATTCCATGTAGAAAACAGCTTTTTTTCAAAATAGTCGTTAAAATCTGCAATGTTTGATACAATTCTATAAAAGACACCCTTCAATATGTATCAAAGTGTATATCTCAGAAAAAAAAAACAGCATATCCGGTTACGTGTTGCACAGAAGTTCATATTTCACTACATAACAAAATGTTACATTGACTGAATATAAATCTAGTAACACAACACTAGTCATTATCAAATATGATTAATGAAAAGAATCATAGATATATTTAGAATAATATATCTCTTTTTATGTGAATAACAATTCTCCCATTATCCCTTTTTTTTCTATGCATAAAATTACAGGGTTTTATCATCTAAGTGAAAATGAATTTATTTGCAAATATTTAATGTTTGCATCAATTAATGTAACCATTATGATTGGAGAATCATTCTTCATTAGTTAGAATATATTATCTAATTTTAAAGTACCGATAATCGCTAATAGATTATGAATTAGGTATCTTATCTAACTATCACTTATTAGTAAAAATACAACTAAGTTAATAATGATAAGAACAGTTTTTATTCAGATGAATAGCTCTGAGTCATTTGTGAAACTTTTCACTTAAATTTAAGTGTAAAGACTACTGCAAAACATAAGTGCAAAAATAATTCCCCATAAAATGATTCGGTTATATGTTCTAGCTAACCAGAAGTCAACGAATAATGTTTTGCCTTAACTATAGAGAGAGATACCATTGAGTTTAGGGACACACGTATAGTTCATGAAGTAGCTGTTGTATACAAAGAAAAACTGAATCTTAAACTTATAAACATGTCTTTTTTCTTCAGTTAATTTTACCAAACTTATTCACAGATAAGAATAACTCCAAAAAAGTGTTAAACGTCAGAAGTGTGCCTACTGATTTACATTCATTTTAAAGAACCTACTCTCTACAACATAATTTCTTTTTGAACGTGGAACTTTAATAATTATAGGCTCTATTAAACGAGAAGAGTTGATGTTGATCACATAATTCATTAGTTCTCCAGTGCAGTCTATATCACTTGGTGGACTCCATGATATTTTCACACTTTGAGTTCCCCTTGAAGTAATTTTAATCTAAACAATGAAAAAAAAATTCAATATAAAAACACATGTTAAACAACGGAAAATATTTTTTAAGTACAATAAAAATTATTGAGTTAAAATCACTTAGTCGCCAGGTATTTTGGTATGAAGCACATCACAAGTGTGAGGGATAATGATGATACCTGGCTTTTCAGACTGAATTAAGATAAACGGGGTTCGCACCTTCAACCAAATGACTGAGAGTTAAGCACTCTAACTAGTAAGGTATCACTCTGAATACATTCAGATATACAAATACTAACTGACAATAATACTCCATACTTTAAAGTGATAATAAATAGACAAAACAGAATAAAGTTTTACTTACATTTTCAGGTGGAGTTTGTGGTGAAAGTGCTGGTACTCGTGGAGATGATGGCATTGTAGCCGGTGAACTTCTCATTGAATTCCCAACAGCAAATAAAAGTACACGATAAAAATTATCTGGTGGTAATCCAGTAACTATTGCATAATCTGCTGGAGCTGTAACATTGATAAGAACTTGACGATTTTGTGAAAATAATGGAGCTAAATAAACATTATGTCCAGTTTGATTATGTATTGTATGTGTTCTTAAACAGTGGCTAAATAGATTATCTGATTTTTCATTGAGGCCAAATAAAATTAATCTTGAAATAGAATCAATAAAATAATAGCAATCAGTTAATTTTACTCTTACTAGTTGACATCGATACTAAACAAAATTTATTTAAATGATGAATAACGTGATTACATTAGTTTTTATAAATATTTCGCTTCATTTTTTGTATTGGTTATTTGAGTCTTTCCAGGGAATTTTAAGACTGTAAACGATCAGTCTCATATTGATATATGTACATCCTGTGTGCATCGATATTGTCTGGAGTGGTGTAGTGTCTTCTAGTGTCATAAATAGAATGAAACGAGCATCCTGATTTATCACAATTGATCGATCACTGGGCGGTGATCAATGTCATGCTCGTCTAGTCCTTATTAGTGCAGATCGAATGCTATCGATCATGTTGCAATGTGGCCACCAGTCTAGGTGACTCGACACTGCGGGCACTATATATTGAGATTTAGATGGTGGTTGGAGGTAGTCAACAGGAAACCCTGTTTCCTCCAACCACCATCTAAATCCTGATTTATAATTATTTTAATTAGTTTATTTATTCAGTGATTAACATTAAAGCCATTACACTATGCTTTCTTTATAGTTTCCGTATGATCACGGTTTACTTGTCAAATTATTAGACAATATATTTATTCATTTCACAAAAAGTAAACTGAATCAAAATTAACTATTTGAATATTAAAATAATCATAATTTTGTTGTTTATATCTTATCCTTTTTACCACAGCTCTACCCATGTTAGTAAAATAAAGTCTTTGAAATACACCGTCCAATTTGACATTTACAACAAGATACTTTAGAGATAAAGTAATGTTAACAAATTATTAAGTTCAATGTATAAACTGTAAACATGATCTTTATGCTCTGAACAAAATGACTGTACTATTTGTCAGTGACAAAGTTGTTTACTTATGTCTTTCATAGACATATCACAGTAAGGTATCCCAACTTGCTGGATGTAAAAAAGAAGTAAAAATAAGGACTTGAAACATTCAATGAAAACAATGCTGTTTATGTAGAAATCACTTGATAATTCAAGAAAATAATATAAGATATTGTATAAATATTGAACATTGAGATGTAAATCCTCTACAAATTCATAAACATATCCTATCCTATATGCACTACATCAGTCATTTAATATTTAGTCGAAATTCGATATAATTACTTTACCAGATTTAAAGATGAATAAATCCCAACAACAAAAAACGTCAAAACATTTTTTTCGATGGTATCTTACATTATTGAATTACTATTTTATATTACTTTCTAGTCCTTTAAATAAGATAATACCATATGGTTTTTTAATTAAACGATATATACACATATGTATGTCATTGTTTACAAATAAAATAATGTAACGAAATACATTCATTAATTAGATTGATGCTTTGTCTTCAAATGAAAACACAAAATGAATACTGTTAACTAACAGAAATTTGAAGTATTTTGTCTTATAGATGTAAAAGCATAGGGTCATTAGTTTAGCTACTGATTACAATAACAGTACAGCACTGAAGATTTTACATTTTGGTGTATCAGTTAGCTTTTCCATCGTCGTTAAATTCACAAGAATATGGTTCAATAAATTGACTTATGTAAAACTTGATTTTGTTGTGCAAATTATTTATTATTTTCGAGATAGTTTCTTCTTTTTTTGAAATACACAAACGTATGACTACTCTATAACTGCTCAGTGGTCTAATGGTTAAGCGCTCGTGCGCGTGATTGATAGGTCCTGGGCTCGAATCTAGCGAGGCCGGATAGTGAATGCGCACCGCTGAGGAGTCTCACAATAGAACGAAACGGTCATCCAGTGCTTCCAGGTTTTCCATGGCAATCTAGCTTTAATTGACTCATGATCTTAACCAATGAAATTACTCATAAATTTGTTGAGCTTTTGAGAAATTATGAATATTCACTTTTCAACACTTGGAAATGAAAACAGGTTAAAAGTTTACTGTTTTTAGCGGCTCCATCTACTACTTTTAAATGTCTAACAAGAGATTAATAGCTAATTCAGTTGTTAGTTTGGTGTTTTTTGTAAATAGACGTCAGAACCAAGAAATTATCAAATTTTTACCAGTCATTTATAGTTTCGATTTTTTGTGTGTTGAAGTAAATGTATAATTAGTTTAAGAGGTTCATAGAGATTAATCAGTTCGAAAATAATCCATATCATACATTATTTTCAACCGGGAAATCATTAGGATTTAAGAAGTATTCTACAACTGTTTTATTCTAGTATGGAACTCTTTAATGTTTCGATTTCTCGAAGGGGTATAGATACACATTTTTCAATCTTGGATATTATTCAACATTGGATTTGTACACAGAAAGTAATTAAATTTAGACATTTAAAAATACACATGCAGACAATTAACTTACTCGTAATGTGTGATGAATTGTTCGTTTTTTTGTGCAGGAATCCATGATATATTTAAAGATCCAAAATTAAGAGGTACTATTTGCAAATTTCTTGGAGGTAAAAGTTGTGAATTCATTGAGTACTTAGCTTGTTTGAAATAGAAAAGAGAAATAAAGACTCAATAAAAACTGGGTAAGTTAAGGATTGTATTTATGAATCCCGAAATAAGGAAACCTACCGTTAAATTTACCAAAAAGAACAAAAAAGGCCACATGAGCCCAGATTTAATTTTCTATTTGACCTAAGTAAATTTCATCAAATGAAACCGACTTTCTTTTCGTAAGGTCAATTTATATATGCTTTATCCCTCTATGTCCATTTGTAATAAATCATTGGCTAATTCAGCTTGTAAATTGAGTCACAATGTTTACGAAACTTTTTAACAACTAATTATTTGAATGGTTGAGATCATGAGTGAATTAAAGCTAGCTCATCATGGAAAACCTGCAAGCACTGGATGGCCGTTTCATCCTATTGTGGGACTCCTCAGCAGTGTGCATCTGCGAACTCGCCTCTCAAGACACAAACCCAGGACCTATCAGTCTTGCGCGCAAGCACTTAACCACTAGACCACTGAGCCGGCCGGCAACCAGTGGTGTTAATGTCTAACTTCAACTAATCCACGAAATTGAGCGACACATCCACCATTGTCATCAGTGAGTTACTATCTCACAACAGACCTGGTTGAACTGCACTGTTCACCGCTTCTTACTAAAACTTCAAGAAAATACCTCTTGGATACCGTCACTAGTGAGCATAAGATGATTATAATCAGAGAAGAGTTTTTGTGGATATTACAGTAAATTCAGTGGTTGAGATCATGAGTAAATTGAAGCTAGACCACCATAAAAAAACCCGGAAGTTTGATGAGCAATTCATTTAGATAAACAAAATTTACGTGTTCGATCGGTAGAGAATTCTCAAGTAATTAATTTCTTTGCAACTTTGCTTTAAAACATGACTGAATGACAGCTTTGTTTCAAAGAAGTTCCATGGATATAAATTCCGAATGTTTTAGTTGTGGTGATAGAGATGTTAATTATTCACTAACCAATCTAAAGTAAAACTTGGATTCAAGTAAGACAAAGTGTATTTGTCTTTTGCTACCTGTTAGTGGTATATTATCTTGTCTAATTTTACACAAAAATGAATAATCTATAACCATTTAATGGTGCTTTTATAAATAAATTTAATATCAACAAAAGTTCTTATCATATCAATCAAATTCCTTATCATAACTTTTTTTCTTTTTGATAGAAATTCTAGAAATATAAATCTATTTCTCATTTTATAACCAGGGATAAAATAGTAATATGTTTACAACATCCAATCATCTGTAGTGACAAATTGGAACATTCAAATGTTCTAATAAAGTAAATCAGTGTACAGAAACTTTAAAAATAGTGATAATCAATATTCTACTGAAAATTCATTTTGTCTAATTACGTGATATGTTATTGTTTATTTTGGTTGTAAAGCATGGAATGTAATCGCATCGGTTACTGATAATAAAAAAAGGAACCTATCACGAATATTAATCGACCCCAGTTACTACAAACGACATCAAGAAAGTGAGATATACGATTGACATGGTGAACAGTATGAAGAGTGGAAATATTGTCAACTGAGATGGAATATAAAATAAGAAATCAAGTTTAAAAGAACTATGAAGGAAGTAAGGGCGATATTTGATTCAAGATTTAGATGAAGATAAAGAAAAGAAAAATGCAATTTAGCTAATCTAACCTCTTATTCATATGTTGTAAGTATTAAGCAGGCTTAAAGGATTTTTCTGTCAAAGCTCAGACCAGTAGTCGGGGGAATTTTTGAATCGATGTCATTTCTTATTCTAATCTACATGATTTTAGTCCTTTTGAAAAATGCACAACCAAAATTATATCCGACAAAATGTGATGAGAATTCAATGATCAAACACTGAAACCGGCAAACAGTTGAACTAAAAAATATTAGAAATTTAATGTCTACAGTACTATGATCGTTGACGGAAAGCCTCTCGAAATTTTCAGGTGTTTCGTCATTTGTTTATCGAATCACAACAATGTAGATGAATCTATCAAAAGAGATATTTTACAATGACGACATTTATCATTCCATGTCTTTGAGAATTACTTATATTTCAAAAAAACCAACATAAATTGGTTTAGATTTGTTAGAACTTTTATATCTGTTTCAAACTTCATAATATCTGGTGATAAATAACGATTAAATATTATCTCGTTAGTGGATTAAGAAGAGGAAGATTATCAGAACTAGGTGATGATATGTTAACGTAATACATTTCAAACAATCTGATCACACATTACATACTTGTTAAACACATTTATATATAAAAATAAAAGGTGAACTAGACTAGAAATGGAGGGTAATAGGAGACAAGGATAATAAAGAAATAGTGTGAAAACAGTTTGGAACCTCATCACTCTGGATAATAAACTACTATTGCCAGGGTAGGTTTAAGGTGAAAGTTCATGGTACGGTGAGACTTACTATAGCTTTGGTAGAGAAAAAAACTTATCTACATCACCTTACGATTTAGAGACGATCCAAATAGCCTTTTATTAAAACAAAGGCTTAAATCAGTCATTAACAAGAGATATTATTCAGCGAAGGTCATTATCAAGGAAACAACAAGGTTCATGCTTAATAGAAAACCTAAAGACAAGGAAACGATTGCGTCGCATCCCACTGTGTTTACCAACTTAAATGTGTGTGTGGTCACACATATATAGGGAGGAGTAATCGTGATCTCAGCATTAGGGTGTGTGAACATGTGCCTAAATGGTTGCAGAAACAAATAGAATCAAATGACTCACAAAGAGTAGAAGATAAACATGCATGATCCTCTATTGCCAAACACATAATTGAGACAGGTCATAAGATAGATCTAAACTCGACTTTTGTAGTGTTGTATCAAAGTGTAAAAGGACATACACCAAGGTTTATTGAAGCCTTAACCATAAGAAATTTCAACCCCCCTCTGAGTATTCAAAAACAGTTTGTTCTCACCTTAAACCCATCCTGGTACTATCAGTCTATTATCCAGAGTGATGAGGTTCCAAATTGTTTTCAGATTATTATTTCCTTTATTATCCATGTCTCCTCTTGCCCTCCATTTCTAGTCTAGTTCACCTTTTATTTTTATATATAAATGTGTTTAACAAGTATGTAATGTGTGATCAGATTGTTTGAAATGTATTACGTTAACATATCATCACCTAGTTCTGATAATCTTCGTCTTCTTATTACACTGTTGAAATTTATCAAAAAAACTAATTGCTTTAAATGATTTCAACTATTGAAATTATTAAAATCTCCACAAAACCCCTTCTGATAATAATCATCTGCTCACTGGTGACTGGTTTCAAGAGACACTCCTGAAGTTTTAGTGAGAAGCCGTGACCAGTGGAGTTCAACCAGGTCTTTTGTGAGACATCAGCTCACTGAAGACAATGGTGACAGTTGAACGATTTCGTTGGTTGCTTTAAATGTTATTTGTTGCAGCTTTATAAATAATAATAATAATAATAATAATAAAGAAGGAGAAGAAGAAGAAAGAGTGGAATCAGTAGTATAAATAACTCTTAATTACAAAAAGCAACTACTTTTGACAGTGATAATAATAAGACTGATGATTAATGAATAATTCACGTTTTTAAAAATAATAATTTTGTTAAAACTTCATTAACAATGATTCTAAATCTTATTGGATTTCATCAACAGAGATAATTATTTAAGATTACCCTGAACTAAAAATGAAAAAAAAGAAAAGAGAATGATGTGTGCATACTGTAAGTTTATAGTTTTTTTTCAAGTTGTTTTCTTCTCAAATAAATAAAAATATAGTTGTATTACACGATTATTAAGTTTAAATAGTGAAGAGAAACTCAGGTAAATTATTCTTTTAATGCAAATGATAATTTCACTGGTTGAAATCATGAGTCAATTAAAGCTAGACTACCATGGAAAACCTGGAAGCACTGGATGGTCGTTTCGTCCTAGTATGGGACTCCGCAGCAGTGTGCATCCACGATCCCTCACCCTGCGAGATTCAAACCCAGGACAAATAATTTATAAGGATATATATAAGGTGTAAAGCATATTGGTTAACTGAATAAAATGTGAAGACTAGTTTTATTTGAAAAATAGCTTACTCTATACTAGTTTAATACAATAACCATAAGGTGGCAATAGAATTACAAGTTATAATTTGAACATACACACCAAAGGATGTACAAGTATTTTTGCACTTGAATAATTTGTGAGAATAAGTCCAACTTAAAGATGGTACAAGTGAGAAAATGACCATAGATGACATCAAATAATTATCGTGTCATTAACTCGGCGAATTGATTAAAGTCGAAGATGTAAAATCACTAGATACGAATTTCGTGTACATAAAATATCATGCTATTTAGAAGATCTATAGATAACAGCTTAGATCCAGTGGAAAGTTATGGTTGAACAGGATTAAATATATTCAAATTAACATAAAACAGTTAACCATCAATTATTGGTTTTTATTAGTTTTCTTAATGATATTAGTTTGTGATAAAGATTTTATTCAACGAGAATTAATTATTTATACAATAGTAGAAAACTTTAACTGATCATGTACAAAAGTCACATTCTTGCCATTATAAGCAATACATATGACTTTAAATACTGGAACAGAAGCTAGTGAGCGAAATAATTTTGCAAATGAATTTACCTCAATGAACGTTTAATGTAAGGTCGTATGAAACTAATATATAAACCTCGTCAAACAAACTACTTAATTGTTTCATAGTCAGCATTCCTATGCACAGAGAATGTTTTCTTTGTAAACAATAATAATAATACGTATTCAGGTTTGTTTTTATGATCATAAAGACAAAACATACAATTTAAATCAAATGTTTGTTAGTTAGTAGGTGATAAAACTTTTAAAAATAGAAACTTGTTATAGTGAATAAAGTAGGTCATTACTAGTTTTAACAGTCATGATCACCTACAAGAAAAATCTACAATTTATATGCACATATATCTGAGTTAAGTCACTGGAATTTTCTTTTTCTTTATATTGGTCTGCTAGTAAGGAGTTAATAATTTTATGTTTCTGAATTCTTAATGTTGGTCGAATCATACCATTCATGTTTAAGAGTGGACAATGGTGTAAGGTGATTGGTATAAGTAAATGAAATACACTAGGAATCGACTTTGACTTGGCTTATATCTGTTACTAAACTGTATTTGAAGAGAGAAATAGCGTTGTTCATAGAAGTCGATAATTGTATTATGGTCAGAACTATTACCATCTTGTTGCAAAATATGTCAGGTAACCGTTTATAATACTAAGTTGTCTTTACTAATCAATCATTTGGTAGTGATCAGTATCACGATGTTTAGTCTTTACTGTTGATTTAATCTTATCTGTCAACTTGCGATTTTATCCAAAGTTTACCCAAATATTCATTACATTGCTTTGAAGGGATGCGATACATGATCATGACAACAATATACTGAGTCATAAAATTCACAAAATATCAACCTATAGTAGTGATGATATGAATGTCTAATGTTTTCATGCTTCTTTCAGGTTATTTTTTAATTCTTATTACAAAAATGTTATTTCTCTTTAAATATTAAGTTTATGCAGATTGAGAATATTTGAACAGTCAATTACTTGAACTATTTGACCTGTGCACGAAACATCTAGGAATATAACAACTAACAAAAAAATGTGACTTATTATTCGCTTCGGTTATTCTAGTTCTGGACATTTATAATTTATTCGACTGGTTTTGTAATTTTTAACTTCCATATGTTGCTATAGAAATTTGTCTGTTTAATTCCAAATTTAATTAATCAGAGATAAAGAAACAACTTATCATCTCTCATGCTTATTACATCACAGAACAATATGACAATTTACTCTTTGTTTACACGTTATGTGTATAGTACACAGTTAAAACGTAAACAGAAAAATACTATATACTCTAAGAACTTTGTCGTTTCGCGCATGATCAAATGGGTCATATCAGGCATAAAAGTAATAATAACTACTCGTTAATAATAATTATTACTATGCTCTCTACTTTAGTTGAGTATATTTGATCACAAAAATAATACAACATTTCACGTTGAACCAGATAAACATGATATAAATAGACTGTCAGTTAGAATAACGAATAGACGTTGCTGACAAGAAGTGTAATTCAATTATCTTTAAAGATAATACACAAGTTTTACTATCAAAATGGTCCTTTCTTAAACATCCCCTGTTCCCTTCCATTAACACAAGGATCATAAGGACAGTTCTCAATTCCATGGCTTAGCTGTATATCTAAATCTACATATAATAAACTTTTGCCCTACTAAAATTCATTTTAAGTGTTCGCTCCCAACGAAAATAACTCGTAGATATATAAAACATTAAAAACGAACTAAGACTCCTAAAGAAGCACGTAACTCATTTGTCACCAATTATTCCTTAATGTACCTCTTACGTTGATAACTCAGGTTGTCAGTTTACAAATTAGCTTGACGCCTAACCAAAGGTTTTGAACGTCTTCTTACTAAAACTGCTGGGTAGATGGTAACCAGTAGATAGTATAAGAATTTCTGTCTAAGATTTTACCTTCTATATTACTTACATAAACATTTTAGATGACAATAAATTATGGTGAATAATTCTATTTCCTTACCGTACTTATAATACCATCGAAACTATCAGTACAGTAATCATTTTGACACTATTCATTTTATTTCATAATGATTAACCTCTTTATTTACTCCACACAAATTCAGAAAAAATCGATTAACCAGTCCTCCATAGGTTCACTTTATAAGCAAAATAATTACGGATAGAAGAAATTTCAATACATTAGAACAACTAGTCGTTAATCAATAATCACAGTGAAAACACAAATGTAATATTGTTCTAAGTTTTTAGGGTGTTTTTTTAATTTCTCACTAATGTAGACTAAAAAATGATCCACTTAAGATAAGCAAATGTTTATCTTAATATACACAAGATGTTCATTTCACTTATGACTTCATTTGTGTTTATTTTGCGTACACTATGTGTTGAATGTAGTACTATTTGTTAATTCCATCCTGGCTTAGTCAAAAATCGTAAATGGTAATATGTCAGTTAACTGTATAAAACGTTTCTTAAGAAAATATTGAAAAAAAATAAATAGAAATACGATGAAGATCAAAAGATAGAACTATGGACAGACCTCAGATGACTAAACTTCTTTCCATTTAATACTAATCAAATAGAATAGTTGAAAATGACAGTTACTGCTTAGAGAAAATAATAATCAAAAGTCGAATTAGGTTGTCACAATCCATTCTTAGACAAAGATAAGAACCAATAGTTCCTGATTGACTAAGAGATAGAATTCTTTTTTTAGTCCATTTCTTAATATACAATCATTTATATGTATTAAATACTTATACATTTATGAATGGCTACAGATTGATAACGATAATCCTCATAAAATGATTCATAAATGTTTTCCATTCAAATTATAAGTGTGCAGATCGTGTATGATTTTATAGTTGTTAAGCAAAATCAAACATTCCAAGTTCAGTAAACTACTTTATAAAAAATTACTAATTACATCCCAGCAACTGAATAATAACTTCAAAGTTTAAAATCTGAAGTATATGAGCAGAAAGAGTAAATAATGAGGAATCAAGTAATTTAATGAACCGCTTACCATTTGTCGTCACCTCGGAATATCGTTTTGTTCGGGAATGTCTGGTCTGTTCAGTTTCTGAAAGTCTGAAAAAAATAAGATCACACCAGTACAGGTAAATTAAACTTATTACCAAGTAGATTTATAATAATTGGTCATAAATTATTTATAAAAGAAGTATGTAATGTTGGTATTTTAAGGGTTATTATTTTTTTTCAGAACAATTCATTCACAATACTCTTAAATGATCGCGTAGGCATGGATTCAGGTAAGTATATGAACTTACGAGGAAATTTTATGTAACTGAGAAGTATGCGTTACATGAACTTCGAAGACACATTTATAATCTACATTTCACTGAATCATTTACAAACAACATTAGCATAAAATGGTAAACTGACTTTTATACAGTTGAATAAACTGATTTCCTGAAGGCTACTGGTTTACATCATGAAAATATTTAGCCTATATTTTAACTCTTGTTATTGCTCCTCCATATAACCATAAATAGTCATGTAGCTTGCGTAATACAGATTATTTACGTAGAATATTTCAACATTGTTTTTTGTATGTACAATACTATCAATAACAATTTCATTTGGTTTAAAGCACACTGAAGTGCCTACTGATAAAAATATCTTTTATATTGAATTAGAAGTAATGAGCGAACATAACTTAGTTTCTGATGAAATCCTTATACAAGTATGTTTATATAACATAAAACAACTAGTTATATAAAAGGGGCATTGATTGTTCAATGTCCATTCTCCATTTTAATTATCTACCATTTGTTTGTTCCTAAAATCCATTCATTTTTATATTTCAATATCTGATCACAACAGTTTGCATATTTTATTATGATTATTCATCTCAATAATGAACAATGTATGAGCTATATACATATACTTGCTAAAGCAACAAAGCTTTAGTTACAGAATTATTACTTGACAAAGAGACTTAAATGGATATATTACTATTTTATAATACATCCTACTGTAGTGAACAAGAACACAAATGGGGACAATCGAATGTATTTTAATACAAAATTACAGAATCTCTTAGTCAAATCTGAGAAGCATGCAGTAAATACTTCATTTACAAAATAACAGTCAATCGTCTGAGACTTCATTGTTCCTTCATTTCCACAACAATAATTGTCTATTTTCGTTCTCTTTTCTTCGATCTTCTTAACCTACTACCACCAGGTGTTTCATGTTCGGTTGATGATATATACTACTTATATCTGTGGACATCAGTTGCACACATAACACTACTTTTAATAATCAAATTAAATTGATTGAAAGTATTTGTTTAATTTTATGTAGTTAATAACATCTAACAGTCTGATCATAATAAACTACACAATGTTTTAAATATTTAATATCATGTTTTCTTTATCATTGTAAATTCTAGTATCAAGTTTATGTAGACACAGTCATTTGTATAATAATAACTTAAGTATAAAAGTTTATTGCCAAACCCATATATCCACGAAAGTAGTCAGCATTTGAAAAGTAAGATATTTCGGTACATGATAATATTTCTGAAAACTTCACTAATTAATCGATGAATATTTCAGTTTGAGAGAATAACGATAGGTAGTTTGTTGTTGAACGAGATATGGATCAGGTTCATATTTTAACAGAAAAATCAATATCAGTCCATCTTAAAATATATTGATCATAGTACCAAACACAATTTGTTTTATAAGAAAAAAAGTTATGTCGGAGTAGCAAAAAGTATCCAGTAATATTAAGAATCAGAATTAAGAGAAATATGAAGAATGAGTACATCTACAATACTTTGTTCAATTTCCAGCTATTTCTTGAAGGTCCTCAATCTCTTAAGTACATAATATATGGATTATTCACGAAAAAAATATTTATTTAATAATGTGACTCAGTTTACCGAACAAATAGTTTATGAATGGATCTCATACCTTAGTTGAAAAGCAACTAGTCTTCTCCAAGACTACTAATTTAGTTTATGAACATTGTAGGTTGAAGTAAACATTTGTCAGTTTCTCAAAAGACCTTAATCAGATACTTTAAACGACAAAAAATGATGGATTTATTAAACCATTTGCCAAACTACTTAGCGTTCTAATTCTAACCTCAGAGTTATTTTCTGTATATGAGTATCCACCTGGTGATATTGATAACTGAATAATAAGAAAATGCATTACCTAGTCTCGAGCTTATAAATTAATACAAAATTAATAAAGGTTCCGTTAATCCACCCTTTGATGCGTCAATATCTTGTAGTTCAAATAAGATGCGATTACCGGTTAATTCACCAACAAAAAAACTAATTTACCTAGTGTATTTATTGGTTCATAACACAGTTTCATTTATATAGTTGAAATATTGAAAAATTCTCCTGCTGATTTTCTGTTTGAAGTTACATTGCACATGTTATTAAATTGATAAAATATATAATTACACTACTTAAGGGAGGGCAAGCCAAAGGTGGGAACTTTCCATTTATCGCTTAATTAATATTTTAATGATTACATGTTTCGAAGAAACGGCTTTTTAAAACAAATCTAATAAATGAAATATATTCATTATGTTACCAGGACATGTCCATTAGTAATCAGTTGCTTAATGAATAATAATATTATTATTATTATTATTACATTTAGTACAATAAATGCTGGTTCTAATCATTGCAAAGTATCAACACGAAATCATTTCTATCAATTAAGGCGAAAAAGACATTTATGACCTCATGTATAACTGGGAAAAGCATTTTGTCTAATATCTTGTGTGTGTGTGTGTGCGTGAGGGAGAGAGAGAAAAAGAGAAAATAGAATATTTTCAGTCACAAAAAATACCATGATAAAAGTAAATATATAGAGCTCAAAAGAAAACAAATCGCTTATGACTAAACACATTTTATGATTACTTCAAATCGTAAATAGTATATCCATAAATAAATGATATAAATCACCCTTACTCATCATTATACAGACTGTTAATGTTTATGGAGTTTAATATAAAATGATTGAATGTTCAAGTATGCCTTTCAGAAAACATCATGATAGTATATTTTTGCTACTGGAATTTAAGTATCTTTAAAAACTGGGCGAAAATTCACTATGGATACTAAAATGTGTGAAGTATTTTAGTTTTTTTATTGTAAATTTATTCTTCTAGAAAAAAACTGTTTATGGATTAACTGATAAAGTATATACATTCATCTCACAAGTTGATTAGGTGTAATAATCACAACAAACATGAGGTATGTATGCTATTTCCGAGAAGTTGCAAAGTATTTACATAACGCATATGAATGGCTTTCAGTCGTTCATTGTCATCTTCTGGTGTGTTCTGCAATCTAAACTATCTTCTTAACTGTTCCAACAACGTTCGGTCAATGTACCGAAGTTCTTCACTCTGTCTAATGGTTGCTGCAAGTTCAACACCACATTCCGCTACAAATTACTTACAAGCATTCTTGTGTGTAGGGTCCACTACACGGTTAATGAAACGCACTGGTTGAAATTGGAAAAAATCTTCAGTCATACGATGCTTCAACTTAAAATTTTGTGTCTGGAATGATGATAAGGTTTGAGGTGTATTCTTCAACTTAATGAGTCCTTTCGTAAATAACATTAGAGCGAAAAATTATAAAGTATATTGTTTCATTCATTCCTTGTTGATTACTATAATTTAAAATTGATTTACAATAGCGTGATAAGAAATATCTGCGGGATTAACTTAACGTTGAATTACTAATTATTAAAGAAGTATTTCCAAGTTAAACATCTCATTCCACTACTACAAGCTATGAGCGTATTTTGGTTTATTTCAAAACTTTTATTAAAAGTCCCAAAAATGACACCAGAGGTATCTTTGCAGTTTAAATATATTATTAGAAAGTTATTCTATCTTACCATAAATTTCATATTCTCAAAGATGTAGAGTTTAGTTGGAAATCTTAGTATTAGTGAGACTAGTGACGTTAAGATTTAAATTTATCACAAACTGTCATCTGTGGAAACTTTCAGTAACATAAACTCAAGCTGAGTTAAACAGCAGAGTAAAAAAGCTCTTCTTTTAGTATACACTTTTTTTCACACCTACATGTCCACTAAAGAAAAACATAATTTGATCAGAGAAAGTTTCAGAGTTAAAATACATACTTATCTATCATGTATTGTAAATTACGGTGTTTTATTAATGTTTTTGGGCTATCTTTTAATGTTAGAAACAAAATATATGAATCAAAAATGGAAAACATTACCAGAATTCCATACAAATGACATTTAAAAATACGTACTTACCTTTTCGTATACTTGATGGGTACATTCTTTCTATTTTTTTGTAAATAATCTGTATGATTCAAGAAAGAGAAATAATTATATGTAATAAAACATGTTTATCTATTTCCATTCAAAGAATAAATATACAGAATAATTCCCATGGTGACAATCTAATGTTTACATTAAATGATAATAGTCATAGCTCTCAATGAATAAACCCATTTTTTATTCACAAAAATTGTTAATTACTGAACGGTCAACATACGAATTGTTGAGTACGCTAACAAGATTCAATGTAGATCCTTAAGAATTAACACTTACGTACAGTTGTAATAATTTTTTATTGTCAGATAATGCCGAATTTTGAATTCAAGTTTATTTCTTTAAATATTTTAGTGCATGAAACGTATGAGTATGAAACATTTAAAGCGACCATTATATTTAAATCAAATGTCATATTTGAAAATAATTATTTGTGAGCGTTACAAAATGTAAATGATCAATTTGCTGTAATACTAATAACAAAGTAAGCGATTTTTGTGTGATACACGTGTTATTGAGAGAAGACATTAGCTAATTCAAATGCACGCATAAATTCATGAAAAATATGGGATATTTAATCGTGTACGGGACTCCTAAGCAGCGCAGCTATCCGCTGAAAACAATGAAAGACGGTAGTGCAGTGTAATTGTTTGATCCAAGTTAAACTTGCACACCACCGGATCTCAGCTCAGTGGTCTAAGCATTTGCGCGAGAGATCGAAGGTACTGAGTTTGATACCTGCATGTGGATTTCCATTACTGAGTAGTCCCATGCTAGGACGAAGTGACTATACAGTGCCTTCGGTAGTTGTTTAACTTTAATCGGTTCATGATCCCAATGAAATCCAGCAGTCTCCACAATCCTATACTGAAATTTAAAACTGTATTTGAAATAAGGAGGAAATTGATTTGTTCAGCAAATTAAGAGTATGTAAGGTAAAAGCAATTTCGCTGTTATAATAAAACATTTCGTTAAAATAACAATAAAATATTTAACTTCATATTTTGTTACAACATACATGATTTAATCATCCACTCATAATGCTATTCGGTTTACCTAATAAAATGTTTTATGTCAGTTTTATGACAATGTTAATTGTTAGGCTATTAATCTATCTGAATGGAATCTTGACTGTCTACCTTGACATTTAGTCAAAGTATCTATAATATTTAAGTATACGTTAAAAATACACTTTCTTATCCAATCATCAAATTTTTTGATTGGCATGGACTATCAGTCGACAGTTTAAAAACTACATTAGTTTTGTGAGTAGTATTTCTTTAATATTATGGGTGATTACAATCGTTTTTTAAATTATTGAAGTCAAGTTGTTCGAGTCTACGTAGCTTTTAGTATTTAGCCGACGTGTAATGCAAGTTAGCTGATATACTAGGTATTTTTAGACGGTCAGCAGGAAACCCTAGATCTAGATTTTCAGTAGTTTGGACTAGTGATCAAAGAGTGCCTACAGTATTGAAAGGATCGATGACCTCTAGGACACACGAACCCACGTCACTTTTCTTCATAGTTATTTAGGCTTTAACAAGTCTCGTTCAGTACCCTTGATCAATAGGCAGTAAAGAGCAGCATGTTTGCTTAGAAGTACCCTGAATGCCCTGGTACGGCCGAGAGTGGGGAGAGTCCGCTCTCCCTCTCGAAATACTCTCACACGGCCACGCGTATACAGCCTCTGCCAGGGAAGTCCTACTCATTGCTTCTCGTGGCGGGGGTGTTGTTTACGAAAATGAGAGGTCGAAAAGCGAATGTCCGGCGCTTTAACCGGATTCCAAACCAAATCAATGGTGCACATGGGCTCCAGTATCCTGCGGGAACAAATGGCGTATGGACCAATCTTTGGTCACCGGCTACCGTGGGACTGCATCTCCTTACGATGCTCCACTGCCTTATGGGTTAGACCTTTAGGTCAAAGGCTCGGGCAGTGGCCTCCTAAGATAACCACCTGCTTCGGTTTGGGCACCCGGGCAGTATCACAGCCCACACACAAACGATGAACTCTATGTCTATGGCAACTACTTTTCTCGCTCCGAAAAACAATCAATCGATTCAAATAATTATCATTACTATTATTGTCATTATTAATACTATTATTATTATTACTACTATTATTGTCATTATTATTATTATTATTATTATTATTATTATTATTATTATTATTAGTATTATTATTATTATCCACATTATTCACCCTCCTTTATACTTATACAGCGGCTCGTCTTTGGTGGAAATTCGACTGTATCTAAACGTTCTCGAGTCACTGTCCGGTTGAAAATTGTATGTTACCACTGAATACGAGGACTGAAGCAGTTTTTCTGAAACTACGTGCACCATTCAAACTGGCTGCCTTCAACGTTCGCACACTTATGCAGGTTGGTCAACAGATAGGGTTGGCTATGTCTTTGGAAAGTCTTAATATTGATGTTTGTTGTCTATCCGAGACCCGTATTCAAGACTCTGGAGAAGTACTACAAATTCGATCTCCATCTGTCGCTTCGAAAAGCTTGTTTTACGTGCGCTTATCCGGGGACCCTGTGGCATCTTCGTCTGGTCTTGCTGGCGTTGGTGTCGCACTGAGCGCTAGAGCTGAGGCAGCACTAATCGATTGGATCCCCATTAACAGTCGGTTATGTGCTGTTAGATTAGAAAGTTCCATCAAAGTGAGAAGAAATCGGCGTGAGAAACGATGTCTTTTCGTCATCTCCGCCTATTCCCCGACAGATTGCATCCCGGATGCAATCAAGGATGAGTTTTACCACCAGTTATCTGTTCTTCTACTGAAAGTGCGTTCGACAGATATTGTAGTACTAGCCGGAGATTTGAATGCTCAGGTCGGGCGCCTAGACACAGAAGAGAGTCGTTTAGGTGGCCGATGGGGACTCGTTGGTTGCAGGTCAGATAACGGGGACCGTATACTGCAACTGTGCACAGACCACAACCTGTTTCTGGCTAGCACTAACTTCCGGCAAAGTCATCGCCGATGTGCCACCTGGCGTCCTCCCTCTGTATCTCAAGTCTGGGCTCAGATTGATCACATCGCGATCAGCTACCGCTGGCGTGGTTGTGTACAAGACTACCGCTCCTTTTGGAGTACCTATCTGGACTCTGACCATGCCTTGGTCTGCGCCAATCTTGCCTTACTTTTCAGCGGACAACGAAGTGACCGCCATCAACGGATTGATATTAGCAAGCTGGTTGCAACTTATGTTGCAAGTAAGTATCGAACCGAGCTAGGTTCTAGGCTAGCTACCATTCCACCGAAAAGTATAGATGAGCATTGGCCGCAAATGCACGACGCCATGAAAATGGCGGGTACAGTCAGTTGTGGGTTCGCGAAACGTCCCGCTTATGAACACTGGGTTTCTGCAGGTTCCTTACAACTCATTGAAGCCCGTCGGTCTACTCTGGGTGACCGTGAGTTTGATCACAATTGAAGGTTGTTACGTAGTGAAATTGGGCAAAGCTTGCGTAAGGACCGAGAAGTCTGGTGGTCGGAGCGTGCTAATGAGCTGGAAGCAGCAGCTGCATCTGGTAACTACCGGAAGCTCTTCCAATTCATCCGAGCCACTGGCAGCAAGAAGTCTGGTGTGAGTGAAACAATCTGTGAGGATGATGGGATGCCAATCACTAACATCCATCGACGTCTTGGACGATGGGCAGAATTTTTCGAAGGGCAGTTCAACTGGCCTGCTGCTCCGGCAACATCGGTCAGACTGTCCTGTCCTCCATGGCTGGTGACGACTGATCAACCAAACGAGGAGGAAGTCCGCGAGGAACTCCAACTTTTGAAGCGTTACAAATCACCTGGCCCAGATGACTTACCTCCGGCTCCTTTTAAAGATGGTGGTGAATTTCTGTTTAAAGAACTGACAATGTTGTTTACAAAGGTCTGGGAGCTAGAAAGCGTTCCAGCATCATGGAATGAGTCGATAGTTGTCCCTATCTTTAAAAAGGGTTCACGTCGTTCCTGTAACAACTATCGGGGGATAAGTTTACTTCCGATTGCATCCAAGCTATTGGCTTCCGTCATACTTCGTAGGTTGTTCAAAACCCGAGAAAGATTGACTCGCGAGGAGCAGGCTGGGTTTCGTTCTGGTCGAGGATGTATTGATCATATCTTCACCCTCCGCCAAATGTTAGAACACCGCCATACTTTTCAAAGGCCAACAATCGTAGTGTTTCTTGACATCAGGGCTGCCTTCGATTCGTTGGACAGGACTGTTCTCTGGGATTGTCTATTGAAGAAGGGTGTGCCTGAGAAGTTTATTAACATCCTGAAAGCCCTATATAAAAACACCTCAGGCAGAGTGAGGGCATACAACCACCTTTCTCCATTGTTCCATTCGAGTAGTGGGGCTAGGCAGGGTTGTCCAATCTCACCATTCCTCTTCAACTTTGCCATCGATGACATTCTGGAAACAGCTCTGATGAATGTAAGTAATGGTGCTGTGGATCTGTTGCCTGGAGAAACACTTCTCGACCTTGAGTATACGGACGATATTGTCTTACTGTGCGATAATGCCCAAGGCATGCAATCCGCATTTAATCAGTTGGCAATCATTGTCCGTAGGTATGGTATGTGCTTTGCACCTTCGAAGTGCAAAGTACTTCTACAAGACTGGCAGGATTCTAATCCTGTACTCACCCTGGATGGTGAGCAGATAGACGTAGTTGAGAAGTTCGTGTATCTGGGTAGCTGCATAAGTGCTGGTGGGGGTGTGAGTGATGAGATCACTGCACGTATAGTGAAAGCCAGAGCGGCTTATGCCAATCTGGGCCACCTTTGGCGCCTTCGTGATGTTAGTCTGGCTGTAAAAGATCGGATCTACAACGCGTCGGTGAGAGCGGTTTTTCTCCATGTTTGTGAAACCTGGCCTCTCCGAGTTGAGGATTTTGGACGACTCTCAGTGTTTGATCATCGTTGTCTCCGAAGAATTGCTGACATCCAGTGGCGACACCACGTCAGCAGTAATGCAGAGGTTCGGCATCGTGTGTTCGGGCACAGAGACGATAATTCAATTAGTGTCACCATCTTGAAACACCGACTTCGGTGGCTTGGACATGTTCTCCGAATGTCGTCCCAGAGAATTCCACGTCGTGCATAATTTGCCGACTCTGGGACTGGTTGGAAGAAGCGGAGAGGTGGTCAGTGCATGACATGGTGTCGTGGCATGAAAGAAAGCTGCAAAGGACTGGCTTGTGTTGGTCCTTCACGACTCCCTGGATGGGGTCCGAGAGATGGTGCTACACAGTGGCCAGAGACGTTATCAGATATGGCTCAGAATAGAAGCCAGTGGCGATCCTGCTGTAACCTTCTTTTACTTTCTTCATAAAAAGTGGTGTGTCTCCTTTACCTGAAAGATTTCTTCTGATTGTACGTTTCCGTTCCGTCGTTACTACCACACTACCTTACTCCAATCTCTTCGTCATTGTTCTCTTTTTCTTTTGCGCTCCTTAGTTTTTTTTCTTTCTACTTCTCTTCGAATTCTCATTGTTTTGTGTGGCGCATATATATTGGCGCTCTCTTGTACCAATATTCATGCGTTCAAATAAATAACCCATTTGTTTTCATTCTACTGGCCGTATCTAAGTTTCTAATAGTATATGTTGGACTAAATGTCTTCTAAGTAAATAGTATGAAATTTCATTTCATTATATATAATTAAATGTCAAATAATAAACTTACAATCTTTCTGATTATTTTTGAACCACTTCAAATACAGATACGAAATTAAATAAGTTAGTTGTCTGTGTCGAGGTGTATATATATTTTTATCAAAAGGAGTTTTGTGAAGATTTTAGAAATTTCACCAGTTGAAATCATGAGTCAACTGGAGCTAGACGGTGGCGCAATTTCGTGGATTGGTCGAAGTTAGACATTAACGCCGTTGGCTGTCGACCAGCTCAGTGGTCTAATGGTTAAGCGCTCTCACGCGAGACTGATAGGTCCTGGGTTTGAATCTCGTAGGAGGCGGGATCGTGGATATGCACTACTGAGGAGTCCCATGCTAGGACGAAACGGCCGTCCATTGCTTTCCGGTTTTTCATGGTGGCCTAGCTTCAAATGACTGATGATTTCAACTAACGATATATTTTTTATCTTATATTTTGATGATCCTACTGTTCTATGAATTAGGCTATTTAAAAAGTGATATTTCAATTTCAAACAACAAATCAGTCTTGCGATAGACATCTTACAAATGTAAAATAAATATAAATAGAATTTTCAGTGTGAACTCAACATTACCCAAGTAAAATCTATCAGACATTCACATAAAAAGTATTTCATCAAACATGTTTGAAATACATTTAATTAATGGGAAACTTTAAAAGTGACATTTAAAATAATTCAATCAAACAAAAATTGAAAGTGATTGAAAATTTATTGGGTACGAAAATTAGGCCGTACGTAAGTCATCATTAAAATGAGTTAGTTCAGTCTGAACGAGTTGTGAATATGAAACAATCTCTGTACATTTTGTTATCATCAACAGGTTGACTAGATTATGTCTTCTATTTCATAAGTTGATTATTGACTAACATCTATCAAAGCTAAAATATGAAAACTGCTGACACTTTCAAAACTAAACAAGATTATACATGTTTAGGTTCGAGTTTTTCTGTTGCTGAAATTGATAAATAATTTGATTTTGCTTCCTGTCGACATTTGTAAGTCATCAGTAAATAGGCTCAATAGTATTGGTTTCCACATTAAGCTCCAGATATATTCCGCTGATAAGTTAAACATGCGATAAAAAAAAAGAACGTCCGGAATTTCACTACCAACTAAAAACTAACCTTATAGAGAAAGAATAATTTTGAAATGGATATCAAGCATTATGAACTAGTCAATGCTTTCACTTTAGACGAATACAATCTCATCAAACAACAAATTTTATTTAAACGCTTGTAACTAAACAAGTTAATATAAAGACTGTACTTTATTATATATGCATGTGATAAATAAATCAGTATTGTTGACTTTTCTATTCACCGACTAATAATTTATAGTAGATATTAATCTGTTTAACAGACAATAAACGGTTAGTCATACTTGAATATGACTTTATTGAATAAATAGCATAATTAGCCCCTTTATACATAATTCAATGAAACGAAAATTCTTTTTATTAGGATAGGGTTGTGGTTTGATTCATGTTTTTAATGTAGTTCCTTTGATATCATCTTACTATCTCATTTTTTCTTTGTTTTCATATTCATGTAAAAAGTAAATAAATACAGTCTATCAGTAATGATAATCAAACGGTTTTTTTAATGGAATAATCCAGTTATCAATATTTAGGGCTAGTAACAATCTGGTAAATGTAAACATGAAATTATTACAAAAAGATTGATCTGTAGTTCTATATTGAATGTTTGAATATTCATTTCCCTAAAATAGTTTGTGCGGCACCAGCGAACTAACGAATTAAAATCTAAGCAATGAACAAACGAGAACAATTACAATTAACAAAAAGCTAATTGAACAAATTATGGATTATTAAAGATAGCTGTTATTATTATTATTATTATTATTATTATTATTATTATTATTAGTAGTAGTAGTAGTAGTAGTAGTAGTAGTAGTAGTAGTAGAAGTAGCAACTATGAGAATTTTAATTAAAAATTAAATAAATGGGAATAATTAAAATTTTTAAGAATATAAAAAATTAGTATTCATTGTTCGTCGCCATTATGGGATGAAAAATTTATTTATTTGTTTCTCTCTCTTTAGGGATGGTAAGAGAAGTATATGAAAGAAAATAAATGGACATTCACAAGAATAATGAGTCGATCTAAGTTAGACCACTATCTGGAAATCTGGAAGCACTTGATAGCCGTTTCATCTTGGTAAGAAACTTCTCAGCAGCCCGCAGCGACGATCTCGCACGCGGAACTCGAATTCTGGACCTTTGACCTCGCGCAAGAACGCCTAACCTCGACTTATGAATTCAACTGTTAATATACCACAATCTCCACGAATAAAATTATTAAGTCACTATCATCCTTACTTTTCATCTAAAATAAAAATACACTGTTAAAAGAATTCAGGTGACCAAAATATGGAACAACTGATGAATGTCAGACAAAACAAGCAATATCATAACACTTATGTTCACAAATTTGAATTTTTTTCTTTCATTGAAATATTATACGAATTATGCAATAAATGTTCGCCTGTTTTTTTCTAAAAATTCGGAGTTCAATGCTATACAGATAATGGATGATTTTTTAAGGATAAAGTCTTTGGAAAATACCCCTGACGACAGTAATCTAAAAATAAAGTCAGTAGATAATATAAAAACATAATTTAATTAGACAAAAGATTATATGAAGTGAAATCATGTCAAATTTTTAAATTATTTAGTTATTGATTCTCCTGTATATTCTAAGTCCAATCCTTCAGAAGATATCTGTTCACAAAACTGATGATTGTGAGACTAAAATATATCAGTATTGTCCAGTAATCTATGATTTTCAATGATTATTCAGTTAGTATCAAATATTATTCATATTTATGAGTTATCATTAGTTGTTCAATTTTATGTGTTACATCTGATACTAATGCACGTTAACGACTGTGTGCATGAATTTTATTGAAAAAACGCTGAAATCCTGGACGAAATAAGTTCTGAAAATATTAGTAGAACTTCTGGAAGGACGATATTCAGTTCATTTAGCAATCAATAGACATGATATAAATACAACTTAATAGTTCGTATAGAAAATGTAAATTAATCACACGATGAAAGGTGATCCGCAAAAGACAGTCATTAAGACTGGAAAAACAAATGGCGGCTACACAGCCCGTAAAGATAAATAGTTACAGACAACCTCATCGGAACAAAACAACTTAAAACACCTGTGGAATTCATGTAAAACTCACTTATACACCAGATATATGATGATGTTAAACATAATGGCAACAAAAGCCTCTAGGTTAGACCATCTAACCCAGAGAATACAATATCACCAATAGTAATGTAGTAAATAAAATTTATAAGAAATATGAAATCAAATTCAGTGAGAGAATAGTGTATGACAGCTATCAAAAAAGCAACTTATCGATTAACGACAAATAATTTCAAAATATTTATACACAAGTGTTTAACATTTCAAGTAACTTACTATTTTCTTCCCATTCTCTCAATATCTCATTGCTGAATAAACAGAAGGAAATGATATTGACTGAAGGCATTTTTAATAACTGTTGAAGTTTATGTTCAACGTCCTCAATTGACAACTGTTTGTAATTGACAAGTAGAAGAACAGTTGTAAATGTAATGTTTTTTATTTGAATGGTATATGTGGCATGTTTTTGAATACAATAGCAAAATAAACATATATTATTTGATTTAATTTCAGATTGTACTATAAGTAAAGGTATTTTATGATGATGGGGATTGGTAGCAGTATTGGTACAGTCAATTTGGTCAAATGAATTACGAACCTGGAATAGAATACGAAATAAACTATATATATATATATATATATATATATATAACTTCACCGCAAACAAGAGTATATACGGTGATGATTCTTATTGGTTTCAAGGGTTTGTAGAAAATTTCGGTTCATCAGATACCCCAAAAAATCAATATTTTAAGAAAAAATTAGGTTACATTCAATAGCAAAGAGAAAAAAGTCGTGTAATGTGTATTATTTGTACAGAACTTCTAGTTAGTTACTTTACAGTAAACCCTTCTACATAAAATATACTGACTGAAAACATAATTAGGCTAATTAAGTAAAAGACAGTGTAGTGTTTAATCATAACCTGCTATCATTAATTTAATTTTCATAGAAGTAACAAACAAATGAAATTATAAACAAACTATTTTGTGTGAAAAGTTATGTAATATACCCGTCATATCATGATACTGTCACTATGCTAATATAAATCTAAATAGGATTTGATCACCAACCTTAACTGTACTCAATAATAGTCGATGACATGATATGACAAAGATGTCAAACAACTTTATTCATAATTAGAAAAGAATCAAACCAAGTCATTGTGTAGTTGTAAATGACTTTATTAGATTATTATTGTTCAAATGTTAGATGTTAGATATTTAAACAAATAATGCTTTCTGAAAAATTCCGATTAAATTAAAACACAATTATATGAACGTTTGAATGAACATGATTACAGCATAATAACTTAGAGAACAGTTTCTAAAATTGTTCAGCAATTACAATCTTGTAATCAACCCATTGTGTTAAAGGCATTCAATGAGTCACAATTGATTGATCACTGGGTGGTGATGAATTTCATGTATGTCAAGTCCTTATTTAGTGCAGATCGAATGCTATCGACCATGACATTGATCACTACCCAGTGATCAATCAATTGTGATTACATTTCAGTCCTACAGGAGGTCGGTCGCGTCTCGGATAGCTCAGCGGTAACGTCTCTGACTGTGAAGATGGGTGACACAGGATCTAATCCTCCAGGGAGCTCCAGTTCCCTCAAGATTACAAGTACACTTTGTTGACGAGTGCCAAATAGCACGAAACCCGGGTCCAGGGTTTCCTGTCGACTACCTACAACCACCATCTAATCGCATTCAATGAGTTCCTGAAGTATAACGTAACATTCACAGAAATGAAAACATCATTAAAATTTATAAAGAACAATATTAAATCATGTCATTGTCCTAAACTGTTCTATAAGTCATTACATTGTAATCCTATTCATCCAGATACTTATATAATTGTGTTTTAAATAATACGTATATTGTTACCATGAATAATATTAATAATATTTTATTACCTATGAGAGTTAGAAAAGAATTACAAATAGAACACTTTAATTTCATTTACTTTTAAATGTATTAATAAGCATTAAATGTATTTTGTTTATAGAATTTTCTTTATTATACATTTTGTATTAAAATATGTATTTATTGTTGAATTTTAATGTTTAAATAATATTTTATTTAAAGAAAGCGGTATAATGATTTGTTTAGGCTGGAAACACACCTGTTTTATTATTAAATTATTAGTAACAATATTGTAATATTTACTAATGTTACTGATGACTCATAAGTTTATATAATCAGTTAGCAACTAAAGACATTTGAAATATAAAGGCTTAAATTTTAATCCATGTCTATTGGTATACATCTACTTTTTAGATATTTCTTTAGTTATATTCTATACTGTATTCGTGTTGTGAAAGATTTTGAAATTTCGAACGTGTTTCCTACTAGTTATCAATAAGAACAAAATCCGTTGACAAATATTAACTGATCACATTAATTGATTATAGGTTGACAATCAAAGCAAATTGATGTTGTATTCAAGTCTTGGTGTAGGCTTCGGCTCCAAGATAAGTTACACTGGTAGCTATAAGCCAAATTATTTGATATTTTATTAAGTTTTGGATTGAGATCATGAAACGATTGGTGTTACACTACCGTTGGAAACCTGGAAGTACTGGACGGCCGTTTCGTTTTATTGTGAGACACCTCAGTAGTGCGCAATCACGGTCCCGCTCGCGGGATTCGAACCCAGGGCCTTCAGTCTAGCGCACGAACGCTTAACGTACTGGACCACTGGGCCGGCATCTAATGATGTTAGTGTCTAACATCAATCAATCCACGAAATTGCGCGACCATCTTCCATTGTACTGAGGTAGATACATGTCCCTAACCGACACGGATTAGCTCTACTGGTCATGGCTTCTCACTAGAACTCCGAGAATTCCCCCACGAAGCTAGTCAATAGTGAGCACATATATTAATTATCAGCACAAGATTTGTGGAGATTATTAAGTCCTGGTCCCAACGGTGGTCTAACACCAATCGATTCATGATCTCAATCAAAAACCCAATAAACTCCACACCCCCTATACTAATGATATTTTTTAAATGTTACAAATAAAATAAAACAATGATAAGCATCTAGATATCATTACCAATGTTTGACTTGATAATTTCAAATAAATTGAGCAATGGATAGATTATTATAAATAAAGAATATATTTATAATATCCCAATAAGTAGAAAAATTAGATTTTCTGACGTTTCGTAACTCAGTGTAAGCCACTTCTTCATAGAAATAATAACCAAATCAAAATTATTCCAAGTGTACATTAATTAATTTATTTATGACAGACATCTGTTTGAAAATATTTTATTATGTACTTGTGTTAAATTATTATAGATTGAAAAACTAGTTAAAAAATTAGGAGTTCGAGTTTTGATCAACACAAATACTTAACAGCTATCATGAGTCAGTTGAAGCTAGAACACCATGGAAAGCCTGGGAGAACTTGGAGGCCAGTTCGTCCTATTGTGGGACTCCTCAGTGGTGCGCATCCACTATCCCGCCTCGCGGGGTTCGGACAGAGGACCTATCAGTCTCGCGCCAGGCGCTTAACCAACTAGACCATTGAGCCAGTCGGCATCCAACGGTGTTAATGTCTAACTTCAACTAATCCACGAGATCGAGCGACACATCCACCATTTTAATCAGTGAGTTACTACCTGACAACTGACCCGGTTGAACTACACTGGTCACTGCTTCTCACTAGAACTCCAGGTTATACCCCGCCTGGCGCAAAACTGATAGGTCCTGGGTTCAAATCCCTCGAGGCGGGGTTGTGGATACGCACTGCTGAGGAGTCCCACAATAAGACGAAACGGCCATCCAGTGCCTTCGGGTTTTCCATGGTGTTCTAGCTTTAATTGACTTATGATCTCGACTGTTGAAATTACTACAATCTCCACAAAACCCCTTCTGATACGAATACTTAAGTGAAACTGGCGAAGATATAGAATAATGCTATGTTTTTAAAGATAAGTACCTAGTCACTATAATGTAAACGCATTTAAAAATATTTCACAACCACGTAATTCATTCTTCCTCAATCACAGAACAGTTCATAACCAATATGAACTGAAAATAAAATCTATCTATATACAAGTTATGCAATGACGAGTAAGAAATTTAATTTTGTCTAGCAAGAAGATAAGCAAACACTTGCATGGCATCCCTCGAAAAAGTATTGTAAGTTATGTAAATAGTATAAGCTAATGATATTAATAGTTTTTTTAATCTTTCTATTCAAGCCAGAATGTTTATTCGTAAATAGTATAGCAGCTGGTAACTCTTAAGCGATTACAATTAACTCTTATTATAATTAATCAAGGATATAAAGATTTAGGATAACTAATTATATCAATATAATGAATGAAAAAAATATCTAGTCTATGCATGACTCTATTTAAATCAGAAAATAAACTTTGATTTAACATTGCAATAGAAAACATAGTTACATGTTTTTTTTCTGTATGACTATAGTACTTTTAAATACTCTTTATATATTCTATAACAATACCAGCTTAGTTTCAAAAGAAAACAATTATTAACACTGTACAACATTTTAAACATGTTCATAGCTCCCGTATATTTTTTTGTTTTGTTATTTTTTACTTTAAGCACCGAAGCAAATGAATCTATGTTAAATGAAATGTGTTTCATTTTTGTTTTTCTCGAAGTATCTTCATATTACATCTTATTCAACTGTTGTATATCAGATCATGAAAACCGTCTACAAACTCAACATGAAAGCTTATACTAATCAAATATATATTTTTTTCAAAATGAGGCTTACGCTTAAGTAAGAAACAATTAAAATGAACCATGACAGTCATTTTGGTTCATATGGATAAACCACTTCATTTTATTATTTTTTTCTCCTTTTTTTATATTTGCTTACAAATACATTGAAAATTACAAATGATTATTGAAGACAAATTATTTGTCTAAAACACATGTGTTTTTTTCTTGATTTTTCTCATCAACAACAACAACAAAAACAATATTGTTTCGAAATAAAAATGAATGTTGTAAAATGATTCATCCAGAAGATATCACCGTCTTAATATAATAAATGATAATCTCAAAAGGGGATCATATGGATTTTATAATAATTTTAATAGTTGAGATCATGAATCAATTGTAGCTGATATTCATCTTCTGATATTAATCAATATATGCTCACTAGTGACTGGCTTCATGAGGTAATCCCTGGAGTTCTAGTGAGAAGCCGGGTCTGTTGTGAGATAGTGAAACACTGAAGACAATAGTAGATGTGTTGCTCAATTTCGTGGATTAGTTAAAGTTAGACATGAACACCGTTAGATGCCGCCTGGCTCAGTGGTCTAGAGGTTAAGAGTCCGCACACTAGAATGATAGTCTCTGGGTTCGAATCTCTCGAGACGGGGTCGTGGATGCGCATTGCTGAGGAGTCTCACAGTATGACGAAACGGCCGTCCAGTTCTTCAATGTTTTCCATGGTGTTCTAGCTTCTATTGACTCATGATCTCAAATATTTAAATTTAAATTTATTATCAGAGGAATATTTTTAATATACAAGTTATTAAAACAAGTAATGTAACAATTACATTTTTTATTATTTATCACTTAATTTAGTCTATA